ATCCTTATGGAATCGCATCCAAGCGTGACAAGATCTTGGCTGTAACCATGATCGTGCTTGCTGTCCTCTCCAATTCTGTTGCTTTATACAGCGATGCAATGAATATCTTCCGTAAGGAAGAGGAGGCATGAATGTCAGACTCCAAAGGAATGTCATCAAATATCAGTGATGAAGGAAGCGTGGCTTCATGTTATGAGACACAGATGCTGTGAAGGGAAATTATTTCCTGGAATCCAGCGAACGAAGATTTCTTGGTCAGCGGTCGAGGTTCCAGTCACTCGAATGAATTGGATGGTTGAATCTGCGTGGCTTCTGTGCGAACCGGCTCAAATTCGAATTGAGCTGCTCGCGATATCTGTATTGTTAGTGTTCTTGTATCCACAAGCAATGTATGGCTTTAAAATGCCTGGTTTACAATAATGTACAGTTTCAAAAATACTTCAGATGAGTTAAATGTCTATGTGAACCTGGACTCAGTGTCGATTTAAAATTGGAATGGCTGTTGTTGCCATCTTTCGGACTTTCACTTGTGTGTCAAGTCTCTGCATGTTTGAATTAAGGCAATATGAGAATTTAATTTACTTTTGAAAAACTCTGGTTTCCAATGATGTTGAAAAGTACAATGCTAAATTTTCATCACACTGCATCAGAGTGTCTACCCTGGGCCAATCTTAGAATTGCACATAGAGTTCAGAAAGAAAGATCCATAACACTACTTATTTGCCTTCTGGTGAACAGGAGGTACCAAGCTCAGCTGATACTCTTTGCATCTTGAAAGGTCAAGGCTCCAAGCAATCAACAGAGCAAATTATGCATAAGAGCACTACCAAATATGAGGGACCCTTGAAAGGAACATTGAAGTTTGTCTGACGTATTTTTCGCTAATATTCTCTTGTTAGGATACTTGGTATCACATCCAGCCAATTGGGCACAATGACAGAATCCTCCTAGTTGTGATAGGCTTATCTTTTCAGTCACTGGCAAAGTACTTCTGGCACTAGCAAAATTGCATTCTTATGTTGACACTATAATATATGATTGATGAGTTTGAATCAGAGGAAATTCTTGACATGAAGGCAATTAATTTATGTATGATTATGATAGACAGATTGCAGATGGAGGGTTTAGAGCCACAAGTTTAGATGTTGGTCAGGAATCATTCAGAGATCAATTCATAGAGGGCCCCAAATGATATTTTGTTGAAAAATAATTTACTCTGATTTGCAAGCTAGCTGAGAATTGGAAAACACTTAGTTGGCCAAAACAATCATCTTGTTTTCATTACGTCACTTGGAAAAACAATTATGCTCCCAGTTGCCCACCTTGTCAATGTTGAAGGTCTTGTCAGAAAGTAAAAGAAAAACTTTAGGGTGTTTGAGCAATTAGAATGTGACTGTGTAAGGCATTTAGTAAGTTGATTCTACCATAACTCACAACTAACATCTGAATGCAGATTAACAACCGGGTGAAGCAGATGTAACTTCTATATAGTTTGGCAAAAGCTTGGACCTAAATCATTCTGTAGTTAGTATGAGCTGTGTCCTTCATAAGAAGCAAACTTAGTAAAAAAGAAGTACTGTACAGAACAGTTGACAGATTAGAAATGGGACCTCACTGAACAGACTAGTATCAGTGCACTGAATGTGGTAATAGGCAGTTTCTGCTTAATTGGACATGCAGATGCAGATGATTCAACCGAATGATACACTCATCTGCATTCAGCAAGACAATAATCAATTATAAGTTTGTTTAGTTCTTTGGGTGTAAAGTTTTTGAAGTATATGGACGAACATTTGAAGTATTAAACATAGACTAATAACAAAACAAATTACAGATTCCGCCTGTAAACTGCTTGACGAATTCATTAAGCCTAATTAATCCGTCATTAGCAAATGTTTACTGTAGCATCACATTGTCAAATCATGGCGTAATTAGGCTCAAAAGATCCGTCTCGCAATTTACATGCAAACTGTGCAATTGGTTTTTTTCCTCACATTTAATGCTCCATAAATGTGTCCAAACATTTGATGTGATGTTTTTGGCTAATTTTTTTTTATCTAAACAAACAAGGCTTGTTTACCGGGACAAGATTTTTGCCCATGTATCCTTTCGTTTCATGGATTAAGACACAATTATTGCCTCTTGAGAAAGTGGGTCACTGCTTAGCAGTGTTGCTGCCAGTTGAGGTGTACTACTTCAGTTAAGAAGTAACTTAGTTCCCCAAATTTTTTTCTTAAAAACATTATATCGAATCTTTGGATATATGCATAAAGCATTAAATATAGATAAATGAAAAAACTAATTGCACAGTTAGGAAGGAAATCACGAGACGAATCTTTTGAGTCTAATTAGTCCATGATTAGCCATAAGTGCTACAGTAACCCACATGTGCTAATGACGGGTTAATTAGGCTCAAAAGATTCGTCTCGCTGTTTCCAGGTGATTTATGAAATTAGTTTTTTTATTCGTGTCCAAAAAACCCTTCCGACATCCGGTCAAACATTCGATGTGACATCCAAAAATTTTCTTTTCGTGAACTAAACAACCCCTTACATTCACTTTGGAGAAACAAGTGACATCTCCAACTTGTCTGTACTACTGTTACCTTGACTGATAGGGAATTTCTGTCTAGTAGTACCAGATGTAAACTGATCCTAATTACTCTATACATTTATGTGTTGACAAGAACCATCATTGTACTTCCATAAATTTACATCAATAGATCAACTGGAATTGGACTGTACTACTCCCTTCGTACTTAAAAAAAATAAACCTAGAACAGGATTGTATTTTTTTATAAAACAAAGAACCTTATCTTTTTTCTTATGCTTATCAACCAAAATTTAAATTTTCAACTCTAAATTTGGAGTTGATTTTAGGGGTTTTTCATTGTAATTTATTTTTCAGCCTTTGTTTTTAGATCATTTAGAATATGTTTATAAATATTTTATTCACAAATTATTTTTTATTTGCAAATATGTTGTTTGGCTTATTCCACCAAACAACCAAACGATGGGGTTGAAAGGGAGTACACATTTTCAAGTGCAATCATCCCTCGTTTGCGCTGTCACTAACATGTGAATTTGAAGTCTCATTCCAAGGAACAGAAGTTGAAGTCTAAGGGGATGTTTGGTTGATGCCTAACCTTGCCATACCTAAGTTTAGACTAGTTGTAGCATGGTGGTACAAATGTGACTTAGAAATAGTTGGTCACAAGTGTGGCATGCTTAGCTCTAAATTTGAGAGCATGACATGTGGGTCCCAAAGTTAAGAAAGTATGGCATAACACAATTGCGGCAGCGAACCAAACACATGCCTAAAAAAACTGTGGCATGACTAAAGTGTGGCGTGGCAAAGTGTGGCAACCAACTAAACAGCCCCTAAATTCTTTTTAGATTATTTACTGGATGGTTGAAACGGGATATTTGTTTTATGCTTAGTTATTTACCGGTTTCTTTAGCTTCACACATTAGGCCAGGTTTCACTGCTCTAATCAAGGCTTCCGATTGAAGTTTAGTAGGAGTATAGTGTAGTGTTAGTGTACACTGTCTTTAAGATCACATTAAGAACTAATAGACCTGTAAACCCTTTCATCTAGCAGGATGATGCTTTGGGTGATGAGCTGGTTGTTGAGATGTGAAGTTGTTTGCCATTAAAAATGCTCCTGAATATATCTCCAACGAGAGACGCGTGGCAGTAACATGCATCCCCGTGGCTTATGCTTCACATTACACATTTGTTTATACCTAAACCTAAAGCTTAATTACTGCATTAGCTTCCAGATCGACGCTTTCAGTTCCAGGATGAGATGCCTACGTAACATGCGAATCTCGTTACCGGATCTCGTTGCCAGTTAAAGCGTAAACAAGTCTCCTTAAAACCTGACTGTTTCTTAACTGAATTCTTTATATATCTTAGCTGAAAATGACACCCTGTTCTGAGAGTTTACAAGGGAAGAACAATTACTTGGTTTAGCTTTAAGGCTGAGTTTAAAATAGATAATTAAGTGGGTTGTTGTTACAAATTTTTTACTTAATTATATGGATAAATTTAATATTTTAAAAATAATCTTAACAAATACAAGTAGCTCAAAACATAAAGGGTATAACCGTACAATACAACCAAATAAAGTTTTCTTGAATTTTTCTTTAAATGTGAAGCAAATAATCTGCTTCAATAATTAAAAAAAAACAACAAAAGCTCTTTAACCCTTCCAAATTGGGACCCTACTATACTGAACAGCAGAGCCATCTGTCAAAGGTGGGCCCCACCTGATAGTGAGAGATGTTAAGCTGCAGTAGTAGCTTGCAGTTAGCCAAAGGGGACAGTGTCCTTTTCAGAAAGCAATGGCGTAACGCCCCCACCGGCCGCAGCCTAAGCCTAAGATTAGGCTTAAGCTAAGCTAAGCTTAGTTGCTTCACATGCTGGCTTTCCGCATCTTTATCATGGCTGTCGCCAAGATTGGCGCCCCCAACTTGCTCTTGTTTTACAACTCGCCTTCAAAGTTCAAATTTGTTTTCCTTTTTTTGTCGGTGTTGGAAATAATTCCCAAGTCTTATGTATGGGCATTTTTTTCCTTCAAAGTTCAAAAGGTGTATGTTGATTGCACAATAGAGAATCATCCAACTAGAATGACCAACTTTCTATAGCAAACAAATAGCCTGAGGTTTTGCTCTGAACGTGTGAATTTTAAAGGATTTTTGTGAACGTTTGAGGGAGTGGTTCGTATTAATTTTACATGAGAATTCTATACATTTTTTGTAACACGCTTTGTAGGCCTTCGCTAATCCTCATGTTTGCTCATTCTCCCACCAGTCATAAATAAGTGATATTTTGGAAACCAACATTATCACCAATAATTTATTTAATAATTACTAAGTAGTAAAACCTAGTATGAAGAATATATCAATGTCACAATATTTTGAAGCTGATAAATCTAACCATATTATTTTGAAAAGTTGAATCAAAATATTCAGAGAGAATTTCTGATGGTCAAAGTTAGAAGCATATTAACTACAATACATGAAAGTGAATCCTCTAACGTCGTGCAACTTATGGTTATATCCTCTCTCTCTGTATATATATATTCCACTTCGATATGATCCATATGTCAGTGGCACAGTAACCCTTATATTCTAATCCTAACTACACTTATCTGAGAATGCCACTTATTTATGATAGGAAAGAGTTACAGTAATTTTTTCTTTTGAAGCTTAATCCCTCTTTTAATCAACATCATTAACCTTTTAATGACTAATTATACTATGCCACCCCTCTGCTGCCGTTCTCGCCGTCTCCCTTTTCTTCTCCGATCGCCGCAGCTTCCGCGAAGAATCCGCCATTAAAAAAAAAAACCCGAGCTCTCCTCGCCCCGGCGAACGCAGCACCATCTCCAGCGAGCAGCAGCAGCAGCGCGCTCTTCCTCCCTGCACTGCCCGTGCCCGGCGGCGAGGAGGGAGGGGGGGAGGGAGGGATGGGGGCGGTGGCGTCGACGGTGGCGGCGCGCTTCGCCTTCTTCCCGCCGGCCCCGCCGTCGTACGGCGTGGAGCCGCCGCCGTCGCCGTCGCCGGCGGCCGCGGCGGAGGACGGGGCGGTGGTGGAGCTCAGCGGGGTGCCGCGGCGGGCCGGGGTGGAGGCGCGGCGGCTGCCGACGGGGCGGGGCACGGAGGTGGTGGCCATGTACGTGCGCCAGCCCGGGGCGCGCCTCACGCTGCTCTACTCCCACGGCAACGCCGCCGACCTCGGCCAGATGTACGAGCTCTTCGTCGAGCTCAGCTCCCACCTCAACGTCAACCTCATGGGGTATTACGCCACGTCACTCTCTCTCTCTCTCTCTCTCTCTCTCTCTCTCTCTCTCTCTCTCTCTCGGATTGGATTGCTTTGGAACGTGACCCTCTTCTTTATCATTTGCGTTATGATGCATACTAGTTGCTTAATTCAGGCGAAAGTGTGGATCTCTGAAGTATAGTTTGTAGGAAGTTCATGATCATTTGATTGTGCGTGTTTAGGATCTTGTGATGGATGGGTAGCAATGTTTTGGTCTCCACTACTGTTCTCAGTTTTGCATTTCAGTTTAGGAGTTATATTTCAGGTATAGTGCCATTGGCCTTATTTTAGTTCGAGGGAAAAATGTGTTATGCGGTGCTCTTTACTTTTTACTAATTTGATTTGAGTGCCTGGCGAATTTGATGGAATCATGGAAGATTTCATAATGTTCAAGGCCGTGATTGCGATTGGTTTTGTATTCGCAGAAGGTGGCGATTGCTACTGTTGCTATTCATAGTTGTCTCGAAGTGTATTGGGTTATGAAGTGTGGTGGAAGATTCATGTGTTGTTGCATCAGTGGGAATGTCTGACACGGCAGTTGTTATCCGGCTGTGTGGCTCAAGAAAAGTGAGGCTATTGTGGTGAATAATTGATAGATTTGATTGAAGTTGATGATTAGTTTATGTACTAAGCTTTAGAGCTGACTGGAAAGTTTGGAGGTTACTGTGCTGTCCTAGCAATAGGTGGGGATGTTTGCGTCATATCACTAGTACTAGGCTGTTAGTACCCTGTGATCTGGTGTTAAATGGCAATGGGTGTTATGGAACTGGTAGATTAGATATTTAGATATAGTGGAACCCAATGTAGTTGCCACATTTGATAAAAATAACACCTCATTGGCTTATATCAAAGGATTGGTAAGATGACGAGTTGTTTTTATATTCTGATATTTTTTGAGAATTGTTTATTGATGTATGTGCCTTGTGGTGTATTTGGTGATGTGCATATTTGTATATGATTTTTATTGGACACCGATACTGTATACCATTCTGTTTTTTTTATACAGAAGTTAATCGCCTAAATAAATTAAGTTTAAATTATGGATCTTATCGTATTGCAAGTTGTGTGCCAACGTTGGTCATAAATCAGGACATTTTAAGACTATTTGCACCCATTTAGAGGGAGGGTAGAACATAGTTTGATTCTTAACTCTTCTATTTACCAGTTTTTCGATAGAAATACATGTTCTATGAGAGGGTTCTTTGATGAACGTTCTGTTGGCCTGCTTCCATTAAATCTGTTGCCCTTTGGCTCTTCTCAATTAAAGTCTGGGTTTTTATTTCTGGTTTAGGTGTAGTAGTGAATAAAAAATACTGGAAATATTGTCTATAGCTCCCTTCCATACTTACATTTTAATACAGTACTAGGTTTTTAGTGAAGGAAGTAGGCATTGATCCCATGACTACGTTCAATGGATAGGCTGGCAGATGATCTGTTTGTTGGATAGTCATTGGGTGGTTACCTGGATCTAACACAGATACGTTATAGCCAATTTCTGATCTTATCATGTTGATCGATTGCTGTGTTCTGCATTCCCATTCAACTACTCATATTGGTCATTTGTTTTTAGTAATATGAAAAGTTTATCACCAAGTTTTTTTGTTATCCTGGTAGGGACCTGGTTGTGGTCTATTATGCTTTTACTTTGACATGATGGCAATTACAGTTTGTTGATTTTGATGATCATTCAGTATCCGCATAGCTTGCTTAAATCACTGAATCATGATTATGATATAAGCTTCATTTGATATTTCTCTAGTCATGATTGTTTCAATGTGATAAGCCTCACTGATATCTTAACATAAAGTAACTTCATATTTATATTTTTACAGTTACGATTATTCCGGTTATGGGCAATCATCAGGGAAGGTATAAAATCATCCTTTCTTAGGAAAGTGTTTTTCCTTCCTTTTTTACCCATTTCGTTTTCCTTTTAGTGAATTCTTTCCCTCCTAAGTTTGCATAACTGATGGATTTATTTCTCTTTGGTGTTGCAGCCAAGTGAGCAGAACACTTATTCTGATATAGAGGCTGCATATAGGTGTCTAGTAGAAACTTATGGAGCCACAGAGGAAAACATCATTCTGTATGGTCAATCAGTTGGCAGCGGTCCTACTTTAGATTTGGCATCCCGTTTGCCTCATCTGAGGGCTGTTGTTTTACACAGCCCTATTTTATCTGGCTTAAGAGTGATGTATCCTGTAAAGCATACATACTGGTTTGACATATACAAGGTGATAACATTTCTTTGTTTATGTCAATCTTAACTTTGCTAGATCTAATATGCACTTTTTTATTTGCAGAATATTGATAAAGTTCCATTGGTCAAATGTCCTGTTTTAGTAATCCATGTGAGTATTCTTCTCATATCATTTTTAGCATGAAGCCTTTAAATCTGACAACTATATCATTTTCCTGGAGTACTTCAATATGCACTTCGAAATGAACCTCTTTTTTTTTTTTGTCTTTTCCTGACCTTCTTTTACCCTTTTCTTGTTCAACTTTGTATGTTAACAACAAAAGTATTTACTGATCAGTTATAATCTTTCATCCATTGTCACACTTGTAATTGTTGCCTGATGGCTGTTTCTATTTTGATATTCTGATTATGATGTTTTGGATGAAGAATGACTATTGAGTAGCTACGTGTATAGTGTACACAAATATTTTTCTAAAAGAACAAAAAATTATGTCATCTGCAGGGTACAGCTGATGAAGTTGTCGACTGTTCTCATGGGAGGGCACTGTGGGAACTCTCTAAAATAAAGTATGAGCCTCTGTGGGTCAAAGGTGGAAATCATTGTAATCTGGAACTATATCCAGAATACATCAAGCACCTAAAAAAGTTTGTCATGGCCATTGAGAAATTACCACCTACAAAAGATGAATCCTCAGGGAGCTCAGGTCCTTCAGATCCTTGTGAAATAGGATCAGAAAGTATGCAGAGCTCAAGAAAAAGCACGGATGTAAAGGATAAATCTAGGTCAAGCATTGATCACAGGCATAGCGTTGATAGGCGGGAAAAACCAAGAGGAAGCATAGATAGGAGAGATAAAAGCAGAAAGAGTATAGATCATCCTGATAAGCCAAGGGCTAGTGTGGATCAACCTGATAGACCACGGAGAAGCATCGATCGGTGTGTATTCTTATATGCTCTCGTTTTGTTTTCACGGTTCTTTGTGGATTCCTGTTACCAGATGAGATTTGACTGTTGCAACCCATTGCTGTGACAGTTTTGGAGGGATGATGAGGTCGGTGACATCCGTCAAGTTGTGCAATATTGACTGTTTCAAAGTAACCTATGCTTCTGGGAGCTGAGAATACTGAAAGGTTAGTGTTTGTGAGTCATCTGTATTTACCCCGTTTGCATTCTTTGTTCGTTTGTGGCTGGCTGTGGAATGTGTATTTTTTTTTCGGAAATACGCTGTGGAAGGTATATTGATTTGGGTAAGGCCTTGTCTTCTCCTTGAGTTGTTTCTTGAAAAGAAATAGCCATTCTTTCCCAACCCTTTTGAGTTTTTGGAGTACATTCTTTTGTTGAGTTCAAGAACGACACTGCCGTGGAGCACTAAGGAGCACCGTTCTTACATAGATGTCATGTACATATTGTTGTATCATTATACTGTCCAGTTTTTCTTTCACACGGGAACATTTCAAAGATGTGATCTAACAAAACTGGGAATTTTTTTGTCCCTCTCGCGAGTTTTATTGTCTGATCATGTACTAATTCTGAAGAAAATAAGCTAGTTACAGTACTTCGTCATAATTCTGGGGACTGAGCTTGAAGCCTTGAAATGGCTCTATTGTGTGAGTTTATGCATCACCTTTCTTCAGTGAAGCCCTTTTAATACTATTCAGTTTCTGCGTAGCCGTGTTAAGTACTTACAATCTGGTGAACTATGTGATTCCCCACGCTTTGCTGCGGAAATTCCTAAGTAACTTTTAAAAATTTTTAATAATCGAGATAAAAATAAAAATTATATTAGTTATTAACAACAAATAAAATTAGTTTGACAGACTATGTTCTGAGATAAATACATTTAATAGACTATGTATGAGATTGTAGATGAAATATACATGATATCCCGCACTTTGATTATATGCATGAATATATGTTAAGGATTATAAAAATATTGGATATATACATGTTAAAAATACTGTGAAAAATAATGTGAAGGAGGATGATTAGATGTTGATATGTAAATTCAATGAATTATAGATGATGTTGCATGCTTGTATTAGTTTTGCATGTAATTATTGTTAGTGGATGATGAGGTGGCATGTTTGCATGTTGAGTTTTAGAATTAGTGGGTTATAATTTTATAGTAAGAAAGGATATGCAAATATTAGTACTTATTTGTGAGTAACCATTAGCACTCGTGAGTTATGGGTAATGGATGGTAATCGGTTAATACATTTTCATACACTCGTGGTGCTGTTATAACTGTTTTTCGGCCCAAATCTGACCAGGGTCCAGGACTGCTAGACCGGGTTCCGTATGATTGAGGCCTAGACTAGGAAACTAGGAAGGGAAAAGGGCAAAGCTGAGGATTGAGGCCTGAATGTGATTTATAGTGATAGCCCAGGTTCAAACCAAGGCCTCTCGCCACGGCCGGCTGTATGCATTCAGTAGAATGGAATAAGTCTATTTTGCATCTCTAACCCTTGATCGAATCGCATCCCTCAACCACAAAACTATATATTAACACCTCTCCCAATTTCAAAAACCGGTGCAAATATGCTCCTTCGATGGTTTGGAAAGCAGTTCCTGCTGACGTGGTAGGTTGACTGCGGTTAGACTCGCTGAGTTAGCGCATGACCTTAAATGTCAGTGAAATATGGCAAAATATATATAGTGGGCCCATATGCGAGTTACATTTCTTTTATCCTTCCTCCACCTCTTCCTCTCTCCTCATATGCAACCATGGAGGCAAGAGGCCATAGGACATGACCAGTTGTGGTGAATTGGCACGAGTCTGGGCCGCTATCAGGAGTGGCGGGGACCCGGTGGCCAACGATGGGATGCAGAAGTCAACGATGATGTGGAAGGAGTCGAAGGTCGGAGGCGAGGCTAGGAGGTGAATCCGGTTGGTCAACCGAACAAACCCTAGGCAACGACGGCATTAGATCTAGAAGAGAAACTGAGACAGAGAGACGACAGGTCGTTGAGGCGACGTCGAGGGTTGGTGTAGTGGCCACAGTAGCCTAATGGTCGGCGAGCTCGCGGTGACGCAGACAGAGCTTGGGCTCCTGCGATGGAGATGGCAAGGAGCTGGAGCAAGAGGACTACTGCCGCTAGGCTTGGCCCTCCTTCGTGACGGGAGAGCTTGGGGTCCTGTCGGTCATGGTCTTCTCTCTCCCGAGCGGTGGCCATAACAGCCCAGTGGCTGATGAGCTTGTCGTGGCACAGACAATGCTCAGGCTCCCACGACAAAGATGACGAGGAACTGGAGCAAGAGGACTGTCGCCGCTAGGCTTGGCCCTCTTTCGCGACGAGAGAGCTCGGGGTCCCGCCGGCCGTGGTCTCCTCTCTCCCGAGCGGTGGCCGTAGCAGCCCAGTGGCCGACGAGCTCGTGGTGGCACAGACGGAGCTCAGGTTCCTGCAACAGAGATGGAGGGGAGCTAGAGCAAGAGAATAGGAGAGCTTGGGGTCACGCTGGCCGTGGTGTCCTCTTACCCGAGCGGTGACTGCAACAACCTCGTGGCCTTCGAGCTTTGCGGTGGTGTAGATGGAGCTTGGGCTCCCGCAACAAAGATGGAAGGGAGTGGCGTGGGTGGTGTGCCGTGTCCTCCCTCTCGAGCGGCGCAAGCATCGACGGTGTCATTGAGCTCGAAGATGCGACGACGACTATGGATCTCGAGCTTGAGGTTGCAGGCGCAGCAGACGGTGTGGGCCTCATCGAGCTCACGGGGGAACGGGGGTAGGAGCAGTCAGGAACTACTCCAGATCGGGTCGTTGCCTCCCGACGAGGCACCCCCGCCTGCACTGCTCATAGAGAGGAGACGTCGTCGCCCATCTCCTTGCTGGTTGCCGCCTTGAGATAACAAGGAGAGGGGAGAGGCCAGAGGAAGGAGATAGTCCCTGACATGTGGGGCCTACCGTTTTTTATTCTTTTCACTGACATGGGATGAAGACCCAATCAATACGCCGCGTCGGATGTCTTGTGAGCCATAACCGGGCCCAATCCTGCCTTTGTAGTATATTTGCACCAATTTTTGAAGTTAGGAGAGGCGTTATATCCGGTTTTGCAGTTGAGCTAGGGATGCGATTCGAAATACAAAATAGTCTTGTTCCCAGTAGAATAGTCGTGAACTTGTATGTTCCAAGGGCCCAATGTCACTTGCATCTTTGGCGTGTGTAGGGAACACATGTGGTACTGGTAGTGCGATATGCGAGAGGGTCGTTACTAGGAGTAGTAGTGCTTTGGAAGGTGATTCAAGGCAGAAAATGTGTCGCGCTCGCGGGGTTGGATGGCACGCCGGGGTGCGGGGGCGGCCCTCGTGCTCCCCGGCCTACCAAATGATGCGGTCGCCGGAGCCCGAGGCCGCTGCGCACGTTCGCCCAGCGCCCCGTCCCATGCGCGAGAGAGAGCGAGAGCTCGCTGGGTCCCCCCCGAAATCGGGAACCGCAGCGCGACGGCCTCGCCACCGCCACGGACCCGTCGCGTCGCGTGGTCCTCATCGAAGTCCAAAAGCGCGACGCGCGCGTGTCGCACGCACACTCGCGCGGCCGCACGCACGTACAAGACGCTCTCCTACCTGATTTTTCAGCACAGCGTGTAGACTACACAGCCTTGAAGATTGTTATTATCGTCTTGGTATTTCTCGGTTTTTATCTTTGTGATGTTTGAGATAGAAAGACTGGAAAGGGATTATATATTGAACTAGAAGGCTAAAAGCTTTATAGGCATAGGAAAAAATATTTCAAAATAAATAAACCTAATATGAGATGTAACTCATCCTATTACTACAAATTTAAATTTAAATATGACTAAAAGTCACAGAATAATACCATTATACCAACAAATTACCGTTTTTTCAGTAGGCCGAAAGACTAAGAGTTGAGACGATAGTGGTACATATTTTTCTAGAGAAATTACCATGTCTTATCGTATCCAGCAAAGCGGGGAAGTTTTTATGGTATTTTACAAATTCGAAGTCCCAACTGTGTTACGAACCAAAATTTCCCCAACACCTCTTTAAAACACCCTATTGGTAGCAAGGTTATCAGTATCCCGATTTGTATCTTAGTATCTTACGATATTATGATCATACCAAGCCAAAACGATACTGATCCCACCTAGTATCCTAATTTTCATAGTATCCCGATCCTACTATTCATTACTACACGATCCTACAAAATCTTAGGTGTATCCCGATTCTACGATCCCTACGATACTATAAATATTATATAAAATAATATGGTTTGAAAATAATGTAAATAAATATGCTCAAATTTATATAAAAATCAGTTAAATATATCAAAACCAACGAGGTTTCTCTTGATAAATGTCTCTATTTGCATGACATATATCTTTACTATGTTTTTTTATATAGAATGGCTATATATAATTAATATAAATATTAATTAAACTTAAAAAAAGAAAATCTTATAGTATCCCGATACTACGATATGATCCTATGATACGATATTACTTTGAGCAAAACGATACTATCTAGTATTCCGATCCTGACAACCTTGATTGGTAGTGGTGAGGGGGTGAATCTGCCACCACCACTATCATGTTGGTCCTCCAAACAATGAGCTAGGTGAACTTTTGTCTCTTCCCAGTGTCAAGTCATCAAATAAGAAAAACCTATTTTAAAGTGAAATAAAAATGATGATATATATATTACAATGAAAATAGTTTTACTTTAATTTTTGAGGCTTTAAAGTGTACAGTAAGGTTCTTTTTTTAATTCCGGTTGCAACGCATGGGCGTTTAGGCTGCGTTCTTTTTAGATGATTGAAACAGCTAATTAGCCGTACGTAAAACGAGAAACATGATTAATTAACATAGGATTAAGTATTAATATATAAAAATTTGATGAATACATTTATTATACTTTTTTAAACAACTTATATATATAAAGTTTTCATGTAAAATGCACCATTTAACCGTTTGAAAAGCGTGTTAACAGAAAGCGACGAGTAGCCAAGCTAGTACTACACAAGTGTACAACATTATGTAAATAAATTGTGAAAAATTATAGACAACAGATGTTTGTACGATTGTCCTCGCCACTAGAAAGTTATAATCCACCGACAAAATTCCCAGATTGTATTGGGCATTTGGGCGCATACCCTGTGCTTGTACTGTGTCGCATGAATGTGGTGTGCGAAACAGCCCGCAACTGTTTGCACCAAAACATGTGAAACAGCATCAAGTTGACGATGAAATTGCCAACTTGCTATCTTCAGCATCGAAATCCAACACACACAACTGCATCATAACGATACAAAAATTCTATTAGTGGGAAGTTCAAATCTGCTTATGTTTTCAAACGACCTCATGACCTTGATGTTTAAAAACAGCTACCAATTTGACTAGTGCATATGAACTAATAGACTTCAGGTGAACAGACTTACAGACGCAAGAGAAACAGTTCAGCTCTCCAAACCTTTTCGCGCAACGTGAGTTGTGAAGGCAAGAGCGGGCACGCAGCTGGTACAGCTTGAATCCGGAAGACCGAGCTGACTGTCTGAGATTAGTACATTCCAGGTACAGCAAGAATCCGCACACCAGGAGCAGGGGTTCTAGGGCCAATGCCCTCCAGCAGCAGCACCAAAGCTCAAGCTGGCATCCTGCCCATGCTTTACGAGTCACCTACCGTGATCACACCTGAAAAGAGGAACCCTCAAGTTAGTCTATGCTTGAATAATGTGTTCTCTGAAAATAGATCAAATTTCAACCAATTCACTGGAAAATGCATTCACCGTGCATCAAAGCCGAAGCCTCCCTTGGTGCTACCGACAACAGGGGTAGAACATGGTTACACGGGTACGCTCTTGTGTACCGAGGGCGTCTGATTCACCCCACACCACATGTAATTTTTAGTTTATTATCACCTGGGAGTCTGATGCATCAATATGGTTTAAGGTACATGTGGGGGTTACCAATGGCATACTTTAGATCAAAGGGAGGTGAAACCCAAGGTTCTGGCATTGGTCACCGGAAACCTTTCTAGTTGGCCACTAGACTTTGCCTCTTCTCCATCGTTCCATGCATCGACAGGGCGACGTAGGGCAGAATGCTGAATGCCCAAGATACTCAAAATCTTCTATCCCAAGCAATGGTAGATCCTTGGAGCACTTTTACAATATGTAGGATCTTTGGAAAGAACTGCTTGGCAAATGACAAGGGACAAACTTTTAGTACTTCCAAGTACATGAATATACTAAAGCTAATAAAAAAAAGTGATGAGGCTTCAGATTATTGTATGAATTAAAAGTACAGGTGCAGCATTCTATGAACAGGAAATATATATTGCAACTCTAACTTTGACCAATGGATTGGTAGAGCACCAGTGCTCATATAGTCCTATAAATCTACCCCTTCTTTCTTTCTCCTGCTTTCTCCTTCCCTTTCTGTTAGGCTGCATGACAGACATACCTAAAAGCAGGGTCAGACAGTTAGTTATGCAGCCGTTAAACTGTGTAATCTTCCTGCTTGGGCTGGCCATCCTATCGGTAACATTTGGACCCTTTGTCACCATTGCACATAGAGGTACAAGCTGATTCATTTCCTTTTCTTTTCAAGTTTATTTCCTCCTCCGTGTAAATAGCATGTGTGAGAACTGACGTTACATATTACCTGTTTTCAGAACTGATGATGGCAACTTACAGTGAGAAAGGCCCAGAAAACAAGCTGGTAGGACTAGAATTACTCAAAGCATTGCTTATGTAAATTCTACTTTTTTTACTCAATGAAATTTAATATCCAAACTCATTTCTAACTACAGATACTCTGATTGTAGGATCATGGTGTAGATGAAACCAGAACATATGAGGAGATCAAAAGCAAAATATTTGCAGGACGGAAGATGGCTTTTGGAGTTGCAGTCATGGAGAACCACCCAAAGGATGCTAGAAGCAAACCAAGCTCAGGTGCAAAACATTCTGTTGGAAAATGTGGGCATGGAGGAAGAAAGGATTTGAGTATGAACTGTTATTTTAGAAGTAGAAAATTTCCTCCAGGGGTTAACTTTGATGGCCACATACCCTTCACAGCTGATTACCGTACACCCCGGCACCACCCGCCCAAGAACAACTAGAAGTATATAGGGTACATCCAAGTATCTAGAACTAGCATGTTTCGCTTACCCTTTCTGTTTTCTGTTTTGATTGGCCATTGTATTTGTCAATTTATGGCCTTCCCTCTTGTTAGATATAGGTGTTTAATAATCATGATATAATAGTAATCTGTTCTGTTTTCACTGTGTCATAATAGTACTGTTAATGCTCCTTCAAAAAGACTATTTCTTATGCTCCAAGTGCATTCAGTATATACTAATTCAATCATACTTCTTTAGTTCTTACAAGCTTGAGTTCACCAAAAGGGAAAGAAATATCCATAAAGAAAAGGAAGTCCTAAAGGAAACTTACTGTTTAGTACACTAACAAATTATGTTCGAATTGAATATATTCTTGGTCTTGATGCAGGAGAGATTAGCAACTACTCATCCAACTCACGTGTACCTTCAAGCTTAAAGGTGATCTTTTCTTCCTTCATGGACACACTCCATGTTTTATCTTTGTCAAAGGTTGGCATATTTTACATTTTATCATAGTGACATAGACTAGAGACAGAACTGAAAATTCCTACATCTACATTTGCTGGTATGAGAATGTTATTTGCCAGCAATATATGGACATGCACATGTAAGACAAAAAAAATGTCTAGGTGTTAGGTAGGTCAAAACTTTATGCAATATTGTCAAACAACACAGTGCAAAATGTACTTGGTGCTAAAGCCTACTGTCAACCTTATAAATTCAAGAAAACAGTCACACACACGTGCAAACCCACTCTATGACTATGTTTAATGCTTTCCAATAGAAAACATGCCTAAGAAAGTCATGCCCAACCATATTGCGGATTCCCTATGTTTCTTACCCTTATTGAGTAACTAATGGACTATAGGAATATATGCCGCTACTGATTTCCTAGCAAAATCTCTCAGGATAGTAGCAGCTCGACGATGAAGGCAAGACCATCCGTGGACAACATAAAACTAGAAGGAAGCACATCTGAGCAGACACTGAACATACCAAATCCCCAACATATCATAATACTGCCATTCAAGCCTTATTACAGGCATCTGAGTTTGGGCTCCAAAAAAGAACAAAAAGGTTCGAGTATTTGCTGCAACTCATATAGAACTAATGAAGACTGGAAGGAGAAAATGCTGGAGTCCAGAGATGAAGTTCTCAGATTGCTTAACAAGGATTACCATGCCAACCCCCATAGGAGGCCACCAGTTCATAACTAAGAAAGGGCAAGGCACTCAAGCCTGAGTCATGTATTATGGCCCAAACTAATGTCTGGTGGTGTCTCACTATAACTGTATGATGTTTTGCTTTGTAATGTATCATAAGGAATAAAACAATTGGGCCACTTAACTTGATGCCTCACAGATTATTTAAAGCAGTTCAAATTTTGAATCATAGGCATCAGAGAGGAAGTGGAACAGTCAGCCCCATCAAGAGATCAAATGTGACATGAGTTTAAACAGAAGGCCATCGCTGGTTTACGTGACAACCAAATAGAGAATATGCAAGCTGAAAACAATGGTTTACCGTAGAAAACCAAACCTTGCCAAAGTCCATGAGTTGCCTGCTATTGCCTCATGTGAACATGAGAACGCTGTTCTGTCCTTGTATGAAATTCTCTTGGTGGATAAGACCAGCTCTCCACCTACATGTTGACATACATAATCAAAACTGTCTATTTCCAGTTAGGAATTCAATTTTTCCCTCCCACGTATATGAGTAGTGAAATTAACATATAACCAATGAGTTGATGTAGCACCACTTTGCATAATTGCATTATAACAGCCCATCTAAAGCAGATGGATTTCATTAGCTATGATCGATCCTATATAAATTCAGGGAAAAGTAGTAGATACAAAAACATAATGACATGGGCTTTATTATTTTATCACCTACTGTTTATGCTCATGGGATTTTGTTTCTTTAAAGTGAAATATTGTGAAGCTGAGATAATTTCCATTTACGCATACCTGGTATTGCACAACTAGATGATATAAAATGGAAATCGTGCATTGCTGGTGCCATCACATTTACATTAAAAAAAACATTGATTAGAGTGTAGTGTCACATGGTAAGTACTGGGGAACGAGAATAATGCAGACCTATCAAGATGTTGTAAGCTCAGATAACAGGAACAACAGACCATGGTTAACGTAGAGATCACATTAATGACTGAATCCTCAAACATGTCAGTTGTATACATATGCAACACGAATAAACAATGTACCATGGTAAATGTAAGCATATACCTTTGTCCTATGAGATCAAGAGAGGAGTGTTATTGCCACCAAGTTCTCAGCTTTAGAAGGCAATACATGTATGAACAGTAATATCACTTATTTGTAGCGATGCACACCTGTGCTTTTTAAACAAATCTGCACAAATCTTAGAACCATTATGATTAAATCATAATACTAGCGTTCTTTCAAAAAAAATACTGGCGCCTGTAAACATTGAATACACTATTTTGCAAATCTGTATAAAGTCCTTCATACTCGAGCTACAAGAACTTAAGGTATTTTATTAGAGTCATCTATCAGCACACCAAAATCAACTGACTGAAGGGAGATGTGTCCTAGATATAAATCCTTAACATGTTGAGTGCACAACCCAACCCGTCTACCATCCAAACTGCCATGAATTGATGATGAGAAACCTGTCCTAAATCCTGGAAACCGCTGTCTCTCTTTGACATGAAGAACATACATACTCAGCGATGCAGATTGGCATCCCATGACAAAACAGTCAAATTGCCGAGAAGGAACTCTAACTCTTGAGAGGGTGAGCACAAACAATCCACTACTAGAAATGCCATACATCAGAGCTTCATCAGTGCAAACCGACGAACTAGATTCTAAAGGTGCCATTATTGCCTCAAAGTCCTCGGCCATTGGAATACCATAATCATCAAGTTCAAATCGCTTTTCTGTTATTTTCTCATACATTCGGTACTTTGCCGATAATGTCCTGATGCAGGATTTCCTGACACATTCAACCAACATAAGCTTAAGTTCTTTAAAATTGTCAACCTCTGAGAACCATCTCATCCAACGTTGAATTATTCCTGCAAACCAACTTATGATTAGCTCATCGTCTTGCAAAACAAGGGCTGAAACGTGCTTAGGGAAACCTTCAAGATTAATTAGACCATAACGATTAAGGCACTTATGGATATAGCTAATAGGAGCATGGATCTTAATGACAGCACCATCAGTGCAGGTAATAGCTGATTCTTTATTCTTTAAGCTGGACAATAATGCTTCTGTGGCAGCAGTTTCTGATGAGATGTAATCTTTGGCTTGCTTCTGAAAGTTGTTGAACGCGTCTTTGAGGTCCTGCGGAAGTGATGGTTCAGCAATGTATTTTGACAGGAGTATGCTCTCATCAGCTTCGCGTTTAGCATTGATATCCTGCATCCATACCTTGAGTAAAGTTTTGAACCAATGATCTGTCTTCATACAGTCTTTCCTAAACTGTGCAATGTGATCCAACAAAGGCGTGCTAAGACCAAGTGACTTGATCTCAGACTCCTTTACTCTTCTCAAACCATATGCCAACCACTTCTTTCCTAACCTAAGATTCATAGCATCCCATATCTCTTGCTTCTGAGAAGCAAATAAATGAACCTTTTCCTTCAGCTTATGCACAGCTTTCAGTGCAGCACTTTCCTTTGTTGTAACTCTTACCATAGAGCCAGCAAACTGTAAGCCCCGGGAATTACTTCTGACCGGCATAAGATACAACCTGTCATCAACTTCCAAGAATAGTGTTTTTCTTAAGTAAGTAATCATTTCCGATTTTATATCTTCTGCAATATCTCTGGATCCAACAACTGCAACAAAGATCTCGTCCATGTATCTACAAGCATATAGTTTTGTTTTTAGTGGATAGTCTGTTTGATTGTCACTGTTTTCCTCCCTATCCTTCAAGCCTGAAATTTGACTTCGAAACCAGTGGCGCAAATTTGACTCCTGGTTGTCTGAAACATCTGCTGCCTCTGAACCAAGGCCTTCATGCCTCATGCAAATCCTGAACACCTCGTGGTCAAAACTGTCGAGGTATATGTTCATTAGGATTGGCGCAAGTACTCCTTCTTGAGGAAGCCCATGGCCTTTAGGAAATCCTCCAAATACCAAATTGATCACCTCTGCATCAAACATGTGTTGCATGAATGTAACTAACTGATTGTCATCGATCTTTTCCTGTATTAGACAGATAATCTTAGAGAGAACATTTCTATCTACTTCTTTATGCATGGGGATAGTAAAGCACCAATCTGGAATCCCAATTTCATTGGAAATGAACCTCAGAGCCGACTGATGCCCTCGGCCGCTCCGACAGCCATGTGATATCTTTGAGAAATGGGGTCTGTAAACAACCTCAAGCACCACCCTTACTGCTTCCTGAATAATTCTCAAGTTCAACCGTGGGAGAACAAGCCTCCCTCCATCTCGCCTCTTTGCAACCACCGCATAAACATTCGCTCTGACATCGAACTCACCAGTCCTGAGCAGCTCCGCCAATGTAGCAAAGCAAACATCATCCCTCACCGATGACATGTCAATATTTGAATTGAGCCGAACAATGTCATAAGCATCCTCCAAAGTATCAGTGCTAGCCACCACGTTAGCCATGAGATCATGAAACTTGCCGTTCAAATACTGCGCCTTGACCCTCTTCTTGATCCTGAGCTCAGCCAGCCTCTTCCGCTCCATCCGCAGCAGGGGCTTCCTCTGCCTCTGAGCGGCCACGGCCGACTCCTCGGTGAGAGAGGCCAGGCTCTTCGCAAGTGACACCGGTGGCTGCTGCGGCTCGGCGGCTCCCTCCACCGCATCCTCGACTCCATCGAGCAAGAAGTGCGCCTTGCACCGCCGGAAGCACGCCGCGTAGCCTCCTGACCCTCCAGGAACAGAAACAACAACAGAACACCATCGTTAGTGGCATTCTTACCCCGTGAGGCCGTGACGGGGAACCGACGCGTTGGTGAGAGAAGGTGGCGTACCTTGGGGAGGCGGAAGACGGTGCCGCCTTGTGGGGAGCACCCGGAGGAGGCGGCCGCGTCCGGGCGCCAGGAAGGACATGGGATCGCGCAACCTTAATCTCTAGCCGGTCTAGCTGCGCATTGGGTCGAACAGGTGGCGTGCGCGGAATGCCGAGGAGAGCGCGGCGAGGGCCCCCGGCCTTCGCTTCGCGGCGGCGACGGCTAAGCCGAGCGGAGCTTGTGGCGCGCCCGCGCCGCGCGCTGTCGAGGCCTCTCCAAGGGCGACGAGGCGTCGCTCGCGCCGTCGCCGCGGCGGCGGCGGCGTCGGCTAGCGTGTTTGAAGCTGGAGGGGGATCTTTGATTCTTGCGTGGCGCGCGCGGGTCGTGAGAGTCCGTCGACGAGTAGGCAATTTTTCGGGTGTTACGCTGGATCAGGTTGCAAAAAAGCCAGAAAAACTCCTTTTGGTTTTGTATTCTTTAACCCCTTTAATTTGAAGCTTGAATTAAGCTTTCTGTATGGGTTAGGCTTACAGGGGAGAAGTCCATTTTACACCCTCGAACTTTTATGGTTATCTAAATGCAACCACGAACTACGGAACCGGGTATAATTCATCCTCCAACTGTCGATACCGGGCACTTAACCCTTCGAGCTGTTTTTTACCGTGGTTTTTGCACACATGGATGACATGTCAAATGCCACATCAGCCCTTCACTACGTCAGCGCGTAGGATTTGCTGGGTTGTTTTGGCCTAACCTTCTCACGAGCGGTGACGGTTGCCGATGGAAGCCACACACGCTATAGAGATGGCTGATCAAGGAAGAAGCGACGATGAGCAGGTGGAATCTGCAGCCGGTGGAACAAGCAGATCGAAGGACATGACTAGTTCTGGAAATGACAGCAAATCCAGTCAAGGCGGGAGCAATCCACCTCCAATTCGACAAAGGGAGGGGCAATTTGATTATTCTCCGGCTATTCTATGCAAGTGTGGGTACAATGACGGTCAGATGGATTTCTTGAGTGGGAATAATCCATCTAGGAGGTATCTGACATGTGCGAGAGCTCGCGTGAGTTGGTAAAATATTAATATAATGCATTTGTTGTTTAAATGGATATAATATTGTACGATTTTTCTTCTATTTGAGCGGAATGGTTGCTGTGCATTCTGGAGATGGTATGAGCCAGAAACTACACCTTATTTAAGGTAGGTGTTAAATGATTTGCACAATGTTGTTCATGGTTTGAAGGAGAACTCAGAGATGAGAGCATGTCTTGTCAGTGCAAGAGATGAGCTAAAGGTTGTGCACAATGGTGTGTGCAATAGAGATGTGGCTGATTGGACAAGAAAACTCAAGGAGAAAGATGATTCAGCTTGTAAACTTAATGTATTGAATTAGAAGAGGGAAGGGAATTTCTGTTGTCAATTATTGCTGGATTAGTATTGTTGATAGTTGCATTGTGGCTTATGGTGTGTTTGGTTGGTAGGATATACCCAGATAGGACATGGCCGCCGCTTTTTGGAGGGTGTTTGGATGCTGGGCGAGAGTGGGATAGGGCGGCCCAGAGGGGAATATTCCCTCTAGATGCTGGATAGAGGGATCTGGCTGATTTGGCCGGATGCAACCGCCCGAGGCTCGGGCGAGCCGGGCAAGCGAGTTGCGTGACTCGCGTCACCCCTCACCACCACGACGCGAGCGAGGCGACGAGCACGGCGGCCGGCGAGAAGGGCGACGAGCTCGGCGGCCGGCGAGAGAGGCGACGAGCTCGGCGGCCGGCGTGGGTGACGAGAGAGGAAGGCAGCGGCGGGAGGAGGCGAGCCGCGGCGGTGGGAGGAGGTGGCCGGCGGCGGGAGGAAGCCGACGGGAGGAGGCTGCCAACGGCGTCGGCGAGCCCAGATCCGGCGCTGCTTTTTTTTTTCTTTTTTCTTTTTCTTTTTTATTTTTTCTATGTGTATTTATAATGGAATATGTATTTATAATGGAGTGTGTATTTATAATGGAATGTGTATTATGTATTAATTTGATGGGGTATATTCACCATCTCAAGTGAGAGGTGACCACACCTACAAATCCACCATACTTCCTCCAACCAAACAAAAAATTGGATCACCAAATCTACCTTTGTCCCTACAACCAAACAAAAAATTGGATCGTCATATTCACACAACCAAACAAAAAACTGGACCGCCATATCCAGCAAAATATGGACCGCCGTATCCCATCCAATCTTGACCAGGAACCAAACACACTCTTAGTGGACAAATCTGCTTATGGTTTCCTTCAACTTTTTAGATACAATGGTAGATCCTTATGGGTGCAATCTATATCTATGTTATGTATGTGATGGCAATAAACTTTCGTTGTGTACTCAATTGATATGTCTGTCAACATGTATTTGGCTGGTCTAAGCAACATTGAGACAGGTTCAGGAATTTGATATGTGTAAATTTTCTGTGAAATCTGTCTAAAATTTGTATTAAATTGATTTAAGCAACACTCAGACAGGTTCTAGCAAATGAACTTGAATTTCATCAAGCTCAGGCGAAGGGCTGATGTGGCATCCGACATGTCATCCACGTGTGCAAAAACCACGGTAAAAATAGCCCAAGGGGATTAGGAGCCTGTTTGGTTGGTGCCCTCACCTCCGTGCCTGAGAAATTTGTAAGCTTGAGTAGCATTCAAGTTTATAATGTAGGTTGCCTGGTCAGGCAGCCTGAGCCTGTGCTTGTTTGGTTGTCACTTGTGCCTGAGAAAAAAATTCAATTAGATGTTTGATTATTATGCCGCTAAGTCAAGTATTAATATCCGGCACAAATTTTTGCATTTAATTGCATCTGACCTACAACCAAATTCATCTAGCGCAATAAATCCCTACACAAATCAATCATAAAGCAAAGAAAGGAAAAAATAATCTAAAAACAAGGGGAACAAACAAGGGAAAAAGGAAAAAAAAAGAAAGCAAAGATTGCACCCAGATTGCAAAGTCGATCTGCTTACTCAACCACGGGCGGAAGAAATCCTTGCCTGGCGACACGATGCCTCCGCACGGCGGCGGCGCTGCTTTGCGTAGACACCAGGATCAACAAGGAAATCATCAAGAAGAGAAAAAAGAGAGAAGAACAGGAGCAAAGAGATCCCCAGATCCATGTCGCATCCATCAGAATAGAATTGCAAAATCCATGCATCCATCATAGAAGAGCATCTGCATGTGAAGCATGACGCAGCACTCCGGAGGGGTCTTCGTGTGGCTGCGATGGCTTCGCGCGACGGCAACGGCGGCGGCCTCGGCGGCTTCGTGTGGAGTTATCACGGCGGGGATGAGGGGATTATGGTGCTAATGTGTAGCACGCTGCTGCGCCTGGAGCCCATCGGTCGCCTGGCTCAGGCTAATTCCGCGCCTGAGTTACATCAGGCCAGGCGAGGTGGAAGGAGCCTCAGGTTAGCAACCAAACACTCACAAATTAATCTCAGGCATGTCTCCGGCCAGGGAACTTGCTGGGAACTTCCAGCAACTTGCTGCCAGGCATGTCTCCGGCCAGAGAACTTGCTGGGAACTTCCAGCAACTTGCTGTCAGGGCAGCAACCAAACAAGCTCTAGATGTTCAGTATTGATAGTTGGGGGTGTATTATACCCGGTTTTGTAGTTCAGAGGTTTATTTCAAACAACCGTAAGAGTTTCATGAAACATAAGAGAAGAATGGGGATAGAGGAGGGGGCAAAGGTTACGCTCTATGTATTTCAGATTTCCTCCGATGAAACACGCTCAAAACAAAAGATAAAAGTAGTACAAAAAAGAGAAAATTCTAGTGAAGTCCAAGTGTCCAACAAATGTTTTTCATTATTTGTAAGCCTATAAATATTCAATACAAATTCATAGGTACAACAAATTCAGCTGTATTTCTGAACTGCTGCTCCTTTTTCTGAATTACAGGACTGGTGGAGCGGCAACATTCGGTCAAAATCAGGTGTAGAAGCTACCAGTGATGGAAAAAAAGATCCAGTATGAAAGCTACAGTTTTTCCATGAACAAAGGTTTTTCAGTCTTTTTCTGTGTACTACTGGATTCTGAGGCCTTGTCCAGGTCCCTCCTGTTCATGTAAAAGAACGATTTTTTGTCCGTGAATGCGGATTTTATGAGGATTGGCGAAAATCCTGCATAGTCCTTGTCAACCTTCGCCAAACCCACTTCAAGAATGTACTTCACTAGCTCATGTTTCTGGACAAATGGTTGAGCAGCAAATTCCTCCACAGGCATCCACTACATTTGAGAAGTATGTTAACAGGGCATTTACATGAAAGTAGTTCAAAGGTTGAATAAGAAACTGGCAACAAATGACCCTTCTCTGATAGGTCAGTTTGGTGCTAGAATAGAGGTTCCAAATACCTGAGCTGCCTCGATTTCTGAATCTTGCTTGGTAATATCAAAGGAAAGTGGCCGTAATATGCAAACAAAAAACAGATCCGATTTATCAAAAAAAGCTTTGTGGCTCTGCCTGCACATTGGTAATTGATCCATATGAGAGAGATTTAACTCAAACTGTACAGGTAAAAACAATTGAAATAATTACAATAAATTAGAAGAATGAAGGAATGGTGTAAAACTGCATAGTTAATGGAAATGCAAAATAATGGACTGGCAGTTGGAAGTTGAAACCATACTAAGTGAAACACCATCAAAGGTGAGGAGACCAAAACAGGCAAGACGGGTGTCGATGGATATTACTAATTCATAACATATCCAGTTGTTTCCTTAAGTAATCTCTCTAACAGTACGTTATGGAGTTAATTAACAGGTCTTCCTGTTATCTGGAAAGTAGCTGGTATGGGCAAATGAGACAACAAAGCTAGCCAGCTAGGTGCCACATAAAAACATACTAATAGGTAAGTTGGCATAACTATAACTTTTACTAGTTTCTTTAGATCTTTGGACATGGATAAAATTAAATAAAAATAAGAAAGGTGGTCCAGCGGTTACCTGAAGGCAAGAACTTCAACAAATTCTGTATCAATCTGAAACATGACCAGGAAGAAAAATAAAAAAGAGTATAAGTAACTAAAGCAGTATTTTGAAAGGAATTCTTCTCAATATGCTAATAATTACCCCAGTCTCTTCTTTTACTTCTCTTACAGCTCCTAAGTTTATATCTTCTCCCTGAAAGAATCAAGATCTTGTAGTCATTAAGTGCTGAGGTGGTGAGGAAAAAAATTCATGGATAACATCTCTACATGTCCAGAGCAGAAATGCTTACTGGTTCAACAACTCCAGTTGGAAATTTCCATACACCTAGGCCTCGAAGTACACCACTCTTTTCTTGGACAGCCAATACCTGCATAATTAGGAGTTAAGTAATAAAAAGCAAGCAGTATACTTAGAAAGATGCTATGTAACAGGGTACCTAATTGTAATATCACTATATAAGCTTTTAACATTGATTTTAAGGATGCTGGGAAGATATAACAGAACCATGACTATCTGAAATTCTGAATCCCTGAAATAGTGCTTTTGTATTCAAATTCAGTACCTCTCTTTTGTCATTCATTACAAATGCTCCAACACCCACACGGTGAGTAGCATTTACAGGTAATGTATGTGTTGTAGCTGGAAGCCAGTATGCAAGCATTAAGTAAGTTTCCTCTGCATGGTGGTACCAGAACCCTTCCTACATGAAGATGAAGTAAAAGTGATTCGGAGATCAATCAAACAGCTTCCTGTACAATGTCGCATTTCATTCATACAGTAAGATAATCTCTTACTGTCTCGTCCATAAAAATGTCCAAACAGATTTATATGGTAATATGCATATTAACTACTATAAAAAACTAGAATAATTGCTATTTCCAACTTAAAAATGCATAATTCTACTAAAGTATCTCAATTTGGAAAATAATAGTACCGTGGCAAATTAAATTGAGAATGGGAGGATGAAACTAGTTTTGCTACTAAAGAGATGTAAATATGTGAGTTTAGCTACCTCCACTGCATATTGAATAAGGTTGGCAAGGCTGATGGGCAATTTTATCCAGACACCTCTTATTCCCTGCAACAAGGGCAGGCAAAGAAAATGATAAACAATTACAGAGATACCAACGGGAATATCATACAGGAAATTATATTTAATTAACAAACTGTATGAAGGCTATGCGTTATAACATTATCTCCTTCAGGTCGCCATGAAAAGTGCACTTAGGTATGAACATTAATAGGTTTTGCTGATCTATGGCATTCATTGGGTATCATGATGGATCCCCAACCCTCATAAACATTATTTAAATTAGACTCCGTTCTCCTTGCTGAAATATTTAAATCTCTCAGGGTGCCATTCCGCATAGCACTGAAACCTTCTAGTGGTCATTGCAGCCACATGTGTACATAGAACATTGCATGGGATGCATTTAAATGATACATACCAAATATCAATCAATATTCAGGTCTTTTTTTTGCACACCATTGACTTCTGTGTAAATCTTAAGTGTATTGAATATTAACTTAAATACGTATAGTGCATAGGTGCCATTATGAATCTTGAAAAACTGGACACTATTCAAACTTGAACTGTTTGTAATTTATTAAGTTGCATATATAAATATGAATATTAAAGGATATTTACATTACTAACCAATCATCCAGAACATATGCTAACACCCAAAGAAAATCATACGCCTATAAGTGTATACCCCACTGTTCCGGAAATTACCTGTTCCCTCCATTTTGACAATGATGCTTTCAAGGAAGCTGAAAACAATTGGGGATCCATCGGGGCCGTCATCTCAACGATCACACCACCATGTTTGTCATTCACAAAGGGTAGAAGCTCAACATCCACTGAGCTCCCAGTCGCTACCGATTCCGCCAAAACCGTCGAATTCGTGGAACTTGACATGGCTCTGCTGCGCAGCTCGCCTCTCAGTCTTCTCCCTGCACCTACCACACTTGAGCAAATCAAACACACATGGACTGCCATTACCTGAAGCACATGTTCGTTATATATAGAACTTCAGCATAAGCAAACGTGCACTAAAAATGATTGAAACACAGTATTGAAAATTTTTTCGATTCCCATGGACAGATAAGAGATAGTCAAGATGCAAATGGGAACGGCATATGGCGAAGGCGGCCCAGTGGCCACCGCTGAATTGTCTCCATCGTGATTATCTCCTCTCTTTTCTTTTCTTTACCATGGTGACCATCTTTTTCATCCTTGCATCCATCTTTGTTTCTTTTTCCCGGTCTACATCCTGTAACCCCAGCATCTGGGAACCCAGCCTCTCCACGTTTATCCATTCCCCACCTCAAACTTTTTTTCTTTTTTTTTTTTTGGCGGAGTTGTACGGATAATCCGAGCGATTTCAGTTCGCGTTTACATGGCAGCGCAGAAGCAGAAGCAGAATGAAGAAAGAAAGCATTGTAAATCCAGGGGGAGAACGTCGGTGGGCGCGACCGAGATCATCCTCCTCAAAAAAAAAAAAAATCGCGGCGGGTGGAAGCACACGAACGAGTTCGAGCAGGGTCTCTCTCGGTTTCTGAAGCAGTCGGCAACTGACGCGAGATGGGATCGTGGATGGTTGGTAGCTAAGCTAAAGCTAGCTGGATGGAATGGAGTCGAGCGGAGCACGCACCTCCGGCGGGCGGGTGGGGGTGAGCCGGCGCGGCGGCGGGGGAGGAGGAGGAAGAGGAGCAGCAGCAGGAGCGGAATCGGCGGGGGGCGGGGGTGGTAGGGTGGCGGCGCGGGGAGAGGAGGAGGAGGCGGCGGAGCAGGAGAGTGGTGGGGAGCGTTGCGGCGGCGGAGGCGGAGGCGGCCATCTGGCTCAGCGCATCACCGCCCGCGTTTTATTTACTCCACCACCACCAGCGCAACGCGCGGCGCGCCGCCACGCCGTGTATTATTTTACGCAGGCAGGCAGGTGTGGTGAGCGTTTGCGCGTGGGCGGCAACATTCTTCGGCCTCCGGATCTCGGTGTCTCCCGGATTTTTCAGTTTTTCATCCAAAACTTATTCGATAAATAATGTCGAAAAAAAATCTTATTCTAAAAATAATCCTTTTTACTGCGCCAATATTATTGGCACATAGTACATCATAACAGCGCTAATGATATTGGTGCCGTCCCTCTAGCCTCCCAGTGGAAGCTAAGTTATAAATGCGAAGGAGGCCGGTGCCAACGTGATTGGTGCCGAGTACCAATTTGTATTTTTTTTGGAAAGAACCTATTTGTAATTAAAATGAACCCACGTGTAAATAAAAATATTTACAAATAGGTCCTTGGTGCAATGACGCTGACACCGTCCCCTTTCACATTACTAACTTAGCTTTCACCGGGGGTGAATGTGACAACGCCAACGTCAATGGCACCATCATATTGGACCATGGCACCAATGATTTTGGCGCTGCGAAAAGGACCATTTCTATAATAAATTTTTTAGGAGTTTATTTGTAGAATAAGTTTTTTAAAAGGACAAAAATGTGAAAAATCCAGTCAGTGTCTCACCTCACCGGCTCTCACCGCATGGGGAACCAAGTAACGGGTGGATACTGTTGGATCGGCTGGGGAAGCCGTGGCACGGGGGATTTCAGCTCTGTTTGGGGATTTTGGTTGAGTAATTGGTTGGTAGTTAGTCTTTGAAAACTTCTAGGTTATTTTCACGATTCTATAGCTACATTTTTGCAGAATCTGGATAAGAATTCTGACTGTTTGGAGGAGTTGGAAGCTCCCAAAAAGGGTTTTTGTGCGTTTTTCGCCGCATGGAGATGGGTGGAGGGGGTTGACGGATCCGTAGTTATCTAAACAGAGTAGAGGGAGGGGGGAGGAAAAACCCATGTGTCCCTTAAGAAAAAGGGAAAAATATGTAGTGGAAACTATTATTGGATTAGAAATAGACTTTTGAGATTCCCAAGTAAAATATTTACTTATGGTGACATGGACGAATCTCAAACGTTTATTTTTCGATCAAACGGTAATTTTCAGGGTTTCACTTCATATTTTTCTTAAAACCCCCTAAAAATTATCTTTTTGTTAGAACAGTGAAGATTCATCCCTAAACGTTACTGTATCTTTTTTTTTTTACCGAGGGAGTATAGTTTACACGGTGTTTGCTCATAGCAAATTTTAGGCTGTTTTCATTTCTTCTCTTTCCCAACTTCTACTTCCTTATTTTATACGCACATGTTTTCCGGACTATTAAATGGTGTGTTTTTTTAGAAATTTTTTTATAGGGAAGTCGCTTGAAAGAAAATCATATGAATCTATTTTTCAAGTTTTTTTTTACTAATACTAATCATGTTCTTTTTTTTGGTGGGACAAGTTCTCAACCTGAACTAACGAATACAGTTCTATAGTAGAGGTGATGGTCATATTTAATTTTGTTGAAATCATTTACTCACTAATTACGAGGTAATCTATACAATACATGGCCTCTAAAGCACTTGTCCCAATATACTCCCTCCATCTATTTTTGATAGTCATATTTCCAAATCTAAAAATTTTATTTTTGATAGTCATATTTCAATCCAACAACCTATCATCTTAATGACTTTCTCGGATTTAATGTGTGACTTTCTATTCTTCCACACATGATTGGCTACATGGGCATTGAGAAATGTAAATATTAATGAATCACTTGTTTACGAGGAATGGCTAGTAGCATGTTTAAATGAATGATAAGTAGAATTACTTATCCTTGGTCTGTGTGCCAAGATGAAATATGACTATCAAAAGTAGGTAGGGGGAGTATTACTTTATTTATTTCCACTTAATCTATTGGTCTCTTTCTTTCATCTATCTAGGAGTGTGTGGATATTACCCATTGCATAAGCAGTGACTCATCATCTCTCTTCTCTTCTCTCATTCATCTCATCATGCCACCTTAAGCAAGAGCTTGAATGTCTATAGTACTTGTTGACTTGCTCTCGGGCTCAGCCGCTCAACCAGGGCACTCAGCCTTTCTGTGATCTTCTAGAGTGGCCGTTGTCGTGGAAATGGTCCTCTGAATTTGAGTGGGTTAAAGTCAAGGGGAACATCGATATAACTTCATGGGTTTGGAATTTGGAGTCATTTGATTTAGGTAGCTGATGGATGAGGTCAACTTGCTATAGTATCATATCAAGTTTAATAGTAGAGCTAACTATTATGTTTATATTAGAGTTTAACATTTTATAGTGGATGAGTTATAACGTTATCTCTATTTTTCTCTCCATTTTTCTCTTACCTATGAATTTAATCCATTCATCTTAAAATAGTATATGAAGAGTTAGCTCTTTTATAAGAGCCAATACTATTTATTTTTCTAGTTCTCTAAAATCTATATAAGTTTATAGTTAGTTTATAATCTACTATTAAACTTGCTCGCGTAAATAATACAATTGCTCAGTTGTATACTTCTTCTTTCCTAAATAAATCAGTCTCTTGCATTACAAAGATACATTTAGTACAAAGTATTTAGTAGTGATGATAAAAGATTAAACTACTCTTCGTCAATAAGAAAGTTAATAAGAAATTACATATAGACAAAGGTATTCAATAGATATAACTTCTCGATTTGTGGACCGAAGATATACATGAAGGTAAGAATTGATTTGTATTGGGATAAACTTTAAGCTTTTCGAACTAGTTTATTAGAGGATTTTTACGATACGATATGCTGCTAGTATATACTGCAAGTATATATGATCTAACGGTGTAGATTGATTTAATTTTTTATTTAATTAGATTGCAGTATAAAGTTTGAAAGGGTAATTTTGTCTTTTCTTCGTTATTCTATCATCAAATCGTGCTATCATCACGTGCTTTGTCATCAAATGGCGCTCAGGATGCTCTTTCCCTAGTGCACGATAAGATCCAGGACCAGGTACTCTCAATTAAATTCAATTTGAACCAAAAATTACTAAAGTGTTGTTTTATTTTCTATCAAATTCCTAATATGCCCTTTTATATACTGTCAGTATATACTGGTAGTATATTATATCGTAAAAGTTCTCTTATTTTAACATGGATGGATTAATTTCCGGTAACAGTGTCTTACAGCCCTTTTGGTACAGTACCTGCACGGTTCATACTGCACACATCATTATGGCACCAGTACTTGAATAACTGTTCTGTATCTGGCTTTTTGGTTCCAAAGTCAGAGGATTAATTTGTTCCGTCGTCGTCAATTGGTGGCGGTAACATATGGGCGAATCATTTCATATAGAGAAAATTCTTGCACCGTATTGTTGTATAGAGAGCATTTCACATTATTAAATTAAAGTTTTTTTCTGAACGAAAATTATTAAATTAGAGTAGATAGTGATTGTCTTCCTTTCTTATTCATGGTTTTTTCTTTTTTCAAAAGAAGATGTGGTTATTTTCCTTGTCGATATATCATGGAGGCATTTCTTTCTTTCGTTTAGGTGAAGATGACGCAGCTAGAAAGAACGTCAAATTTCATAGGTTTTTTTTTCTCAATTATACAGAGGAGACACGTACCCACATACAAATACGTTCGTTAACACACAGAAAGATGGAGACTAGTGAGAAATTACTGGCCTCACTGAAAGTACATTTACATGTGGCCATATGGGTAATATACATAGTCACCGGAACGATTCTTATATGGGTAAAATATGCCACCATATTGCTAGTGCTATCTTTTTTATAATAATTTGACAGTAATGTTACCCTCTCCATCTTAAAATAAATAAAGTTCTATACAAGCTTATGAACATAAGCTATGTACATAAAAATTAAGAAGTAGTATGCCATTTATCATCTGTTCCTTACTTGAGCATATGATCCCTACATGCTGGTTTAATGATGTTTAAAAGAAAAATCTATTCCTAAATCCTGCATTTCTCCAGCTGCATTAATGCTGCTGCTCTACAAATGCTCTACAAATGGATATTCCCTAGTCTCGTAATGGCGTGTGATCGCATGGTGATTAGACGGGCAAGTAAACCTGTCCCGTCGACGTGACCATCTGAAAGTTCTCTGCTTATCCCCAAACCAAATGGTTCACGTGGCACAACTGATTTAACTTTAGAAGAAGAAATTATATTCCATTTTAATTAGTAGAAGCACCAACTTTTCGAACAGTGGCGTTAAAATTAGAAGTTTGGTTAAAATTGAAAAAGTTGAAAGTTTATGTGTGTAGAAAAGTTTTGATATAATGAAAAAGTTGAAAGTTTGAAGAAAAAATTTGAAACTAAATTCGACCAGAGCAATTTCTGGCTCAAATTCAATGCACACCAGCTGATCACTCAAACATACTCCTATAACAGAGCCAGAATCAGGGAAGAGATCAAGATGCCTTCAACGTCAAACCGCATCGCCATCTCACGGTTTGACATTAGCACGCAAGAGGACACCACTGGAGGTCTGGAGTAGAGCCTCCTACTCTCTCTTCGTTTTCGTATACGACTGATTATAAATTGTAATGCTTTAAAATTATTTGTGAATAAAATCTTATATTTGTGTTTTTTAACGATTCAACTGGTAAGATTAAAAAATAAGTTAGATGAAAAAATATATATTAAAATGATTTTAAAATTTAAATTTTAGTTGTACCTAATACTAAATGATGGAGTTGTCAGCCTCCTGTTACTGAATTTAATTGCCATGTGTTTGCAGACTTTGCATGATTGCATCGCAATTTGCTGTCATCGATATGCTGTAGTACTCAGGCTTGACTTACCAACCAGGCACATGTCACTATCCTGAGAAATTTTCAGCAGTTTTATCTTTTAAGACAGAGGATGAACATGATGATCATGGATGCACATAGTCGTAGAGTACGGTGGTATCTTATGGCAGGACAAGAGTACAATACCATTAAATTAGAAGAACAACAAACTACTCCCTCTATTCTAAAATATAAAAGCATTTCTAACATTTGAAATTTGTAGCAAAATATAAACACTTCTAGCATTGTTCAGAGTATTACTCCACTTATTATCCCATCAGTCACCTCCTACTGAAATTTATTCACATCTTACCTCCCAACCATCTATCACTTAATATGGGACACCAAAGTCTTTTCTTCCCAAAGATAATCTCTGCTAAACAACGTATAAATACTTATATTTCAAAAAAAAAAAAGAGGAAGTGCTCGAAGAATGTAAATACCGTTAAAACTAGAGATCTCTTAAAACTATAAGCATGTAGTGTACAGCTCGCCGTAGAAGGTGGAATGTTCAGCTGTTGACAGTAGCAGTGCACAAGTCCATAAATGTACATTTATCTACCTTCTTTTCTTATCTACTATAAATTAATTAACAACTACCAAAATACCAGCCACCTGAACACTATACATGCCATTCACAAAGTCCCAGTAGCGGCCCAAAATCCACATACTGTAGTATACAATCTGGACAGATACCACAGAGAGAACAGAGTGAAAAAACTGAACACTGAACAGCTCATGCCAAACTCAACAGGTGATCAGATCATTCTTTCTTTTCTTCTCTTCTCTTTTCATTTTGTGCAGGAACAAGTGATCTGATCCATAGCTTTGGAGATACTGGGATGTTGCCACAGTCCCAGCTTGCTTTCTCTGAAACTTTTGTAACCCTGCATAGCTGAGAGACTGAGAAGATTTTGGTCTCAGATGGCGTCGGCTGTGCCTCCCTCGCGGTCAGGGCCCCTGTATGAAAGCCCCACATCCTCTCCTGATTGACGCCTCACCATGCTTGCCCTCTGCACCAGGCGCACCAGTTGCTGGACAACCTCGGACATCGGTGGACGGAACTCCGGTTCGGGCTACAAAGCATTGACAGCATTATGGTACAAACTGAAAATGATGATCGATCTTAGCGTGCTTCTGAAGAGTATTTCTAGTTCATATGTTATCCAAAACCAACTTTAAGATTGATAGAACTGAACCGTCTGCTCAGTGAGTTGTTCATATTAGAAGCTGTAAGAACAATTTTGGGCGAACAAGAAATGGGTAGTCATATGCAGGACAAAGAAATGTGCGAAAGATAACGAATATTACCTGGACACACAATGCAATTATGTCAGCGAAACGGGAGAGTGATTTTGCAGGGTACATCCCATCCATTGCTGGATCAACCATCTTGGCAAGCGCATCGATGTCATGAAGCTGTGGAGTAGCCCATGTGACAAGAGACTGTTCGGACCTCTCTCTAGAGCTGCACATTGCAACACAAGAATGAATGACGGCCTTGAAGTTACTAATAAAGAAATACATTACTCATTTTCTTACTACTTACTAGCTCTGAAATAATAAGGTAATGTACCTGTCTAACGGTTTACGTGCTGTCAATAGTTCTAACATCACTACTCCAAAACTGTACACGTCACTTTTTACAGTATATATTCCTGACATGGCAAACTCTGGGGCGCTATATCCAAAAGATCCAAACACTTCAGTTGAAACCTGCATCATAACACATGGTTTAGCCCAAAGAACTACTGTAGGACCTAAAGATGAAATGTTGGAAATAACTACATTGATAGAGATGTGGTACTACATTACTTACCTCTCTCTCAGGATTTGGTGTCAGGGCAGCAAGCCCACAGTCAGACAGATGGGGACTGTATTCTTTATCAAGCAGGATATTCGCTGACTTTAAGTTTCTATGTACAACAGGGGGCAAGCACACCTCATGCAGGTATCTGAAGAAAGGTTGGCATTGCATTGTAGCATTATACTTGATTAACATAACCTTTTCATAGAGTGAAAAACACTAGAGTGCTCAAATAATAACATACTCTAAAGCTCGCGCGGTGCCTAGTGCTATCCTCATGCGGTGGTTCCATGTAAGGATCTTGCTTGTATCATCGAAAAAATGCAATATATCATGCAGTGTCCCATTTCCAATGTGCTCATACACAAGAAGCCTTTGTCCATGTTCAACACAATAGCCTGCAAGCGGCACAATGTTTGGGTGCCTAAGTCGTGAAATGCTCGACACAACCTCAAGAAAGTTATCTTCTTCATACAAGGAAAGTGACGCACTGTCTATCTTCTTCACTGCAAGTACCTGCGATCAAGCACAGAATTCAGTTCCACTGCGTCATAGCTATGCAAATAAACACTTGTTGAACATATATAAGGCAATACCATGCTAAGTTCAAAGTAATATTTCTGTATTGACCAACAATAGATTACTGCAAGTGATGTTTTACCTTTCCATTGGGGAAGTCGGCCTTGTAAACACGACCAAGTGAACCCTCACCTAGGAGCGAATCTTGGCAGAAGCTGTTTGTAGCAACTTGGAGAGAAGCAACTGTATATGGATTCGCTGTGACAGAGACCTTCATCTTCTTTGACATAGAGCTGTTTGTACTATATACCCTTTCAGGAGTCATTTTTCCCATAGGCGGGAGCACGGAACTTGAAACAGGTGCGTCTTGCTGGGTGTGATCCCATATTTCCCTGTTAGAAGCTGCAAAAGAAAAGCACCAAAGATGTAGGTAATATTGATTTATTTTCAACTTTGGGGAATGAACAATTGAACATCAGGGCCTTCTGCAGTTCTTTAAGTTTCATTTTTTATTATATATTGGTAACAGCAAACCACAAAGTAATGTTACACTTTGCCTTTTTCTCAAAATGGCAGGAGCACTGCCAATAAAATAAGCAGAAACAGCCACAAAGTAAGGTACAAAGTTTATTATTCCCATCTCCCAAGCATACCCAAGCACCTAATAGCTATAATGCAGGTGCAAAGAGCACATCAATAAAGGAAGAAGAATGCCAAAAAGCTAGTCATCAACAAAGCAAACACCATGTTTGAGATATCTGGCAGAATAAAATGTTTATCTCAAACAAGTCTTCGTTTCTTTTCTATTTATATTTTATCAGATTTGGAGAAAAAATGATATTAGTATCTCACTCACATATTTTTTCGTAATGCCTGCTCATGCCATCTGGTCTTAGTCAGATGTCAGACAGTGGCCTAAATTTCACGATTATCACCAGCCACAAGAACTATTACTATTCTTATATGGGGAAAAAAATCTGAGCCACAAATAACAAATATTAATAGTATGATAAAATGAAAATATTGTGCACAAATATATAGGAGCATACCTCTATCTATGTTTACTGCAAAAGTGCTTGCGACATCTTTTGATTCACTGATCCCACCATCTTTACTTTTCCGGACATTGTGAAGGCACAGTACCAACGCGAAAAGTACACCACAAGCAGCAGCCATTGAGCCAATAACTATCCCTATAACCAGACCAGTTCGCAGACGTTGCTTCTTGTCACTACCTTGATCAATAGGAATCTCAGGGATATTTGGAGCAGTTGTTGGTCCTTGAGGAAAGTCTGGTTGACCCTGAGGTGGTGAAGTGATAGTAGATGGCGGAGATGAAGGTACATTGAGAAATGAGTTTCCTCCAAGTCTATTTTTGAAAATGCATTATCCCATCAGCATGCAAAATTTGATGGTTTTCATAGAAAAGAACATTAAAACATGTTGGTTGTTGGTGCGTACATCAAATGTGAAATTGAACTGAATTCTTGTGGTATTGAACCGCTGAAATTGTTATTTGCTATGTTTCTGTTCAAAGGCACAATAGCTCACATAATTAGGCGAAAAGCATGAGAGGAAGATTAGGATAGAAATCGTGTCAGCCTGTACAAAATCACTCACAGTGTAGTAAGGCTTAGGTTGCTGAGTACATTGACTGTGCCCGATAGTTGGTTATTTTGCAGATAACTACACAATGGGTCAAAAGAACTATCAGAACCATGAAATGAAATACGAAATTTGGAAGTTTGAACTGAGGATTAGTAAGAACTTACATGCCAGAAATATTTGACAGAGAGCGTAAAGAAATAGGCAAGTTGCCATTCAGGTTATTGAAAGATACATCTCTGTAAAGATTTCAAATTGTACAAGATCATGTCATGAAACCAAGAGTTTCAACAATCGAGATAACAAGCCTTGCAAAGAAAGGTCCTGTAGGACTTACAGTTCAGAAAGTGCAGTGAGGTTTCCAAACATTTCACCAATTTCCTGAAATAGTAAGTTGTGGCTGAGATTGCTGCATGTAGATGTGTTTTTTTACAGTTAGACTATGTCAACCAAAATAACAATCTCCACCTAATGAATTGCACATTTGCAATGGCCAGCACTTACAGATAGTTGAGTGAAACCATGTTGGATATCGAGTATGGAAGGTTACCGGAAAAGTTATTTCCTGCCAAATTCCTGCATCGCAACTGTTATTGAAGATGCAGGCATCAAAAACTACTTGAATAAACTTGTGCAAGCCAGGAAGCATTACAGATAGGCGAGATTTGGTGGCAGCTGATAAGGAATTGAATCATGCAAGTTGTTGCTACTCAAGTCCCTGTAAGTTAAGAAATGAAGGACATAAATTAGGGGAAAACAAGACAATAAATACTTGTGCTCAAGTAGTAGCTCATACATTGTCTTCAATGCTAGCAGATTGGATAGTTGGTAGCCAAGAGTGCCATTCAGCCCCATACCAGAAAGCTTGCTGCAGAACAAGGGAACAAACAGAATGGTTCAGCATCGAGCATCTCCATTTGAGGCGATTTCATATACAAAAAAAAAAAAAGAGAGGAAAATAGCAAAATTAAGGTATGGTCTTAAAGATAAGATACACTCTCCAGCCTCTTTTGTATAATCTATATTTTAGCCAGAATAGATATATTCTGCTTGTTGCATGTTACCCAGACATCAGATTTTGAACGAGAACAAATATCAAATATTTTTTTATGCATACGAAAAAGCCCTTTTTCCTACAACTGAAAAAGACACTGAAAACCAGCAGAGCACCATTATTTGCCTGGATGGCTGGATCCAGTCTCCCAAACTCTGAGCTGGCAAATTAATCGATGCAGAGAGTAGAGTAGAATTATATTAACACCACTTGACATCATGCAGGGAGGAAAAAAAAACTTTCTATCTCTTAATATCATAGGCATCCAATGAAAATTTTTTGGACAACGTTTTATCTCATGATAGTAGAATCAATCAACTACTGCAAAGGATGAGAATTTCCAATTATCTATCAGAAATTTACTGAAAGATAGAGAATGTGAAAAACCAACACACTTCAGGATTTCATCAGCGGCTTTCAATGCCCACACGTCAAGACAAAGCCACGGCAATCTTTTTTTACGAAATGCAGTGAAAAGAAAACCAGCAAAATGACTCCTGCTTTCCACGAACATGAAAGGCATCAAACGCGAAATCTTTTCATCACTCAAAAACATTTTGGGGGGAGTTTAATCAGAAGATCTTTTATTTACATCGAGGTGACGGCGGAGCCAACGCAGGAGACGCCCATCCACGCGGCACCGCAAGGGTCGCCGCCGCCGGCCGACCAGCCGGTGAGCTGAGCCGGGCTATTCCAGGAGGAGTACAGATTCCCCAGCGCCGCGGCTGCAAGAACCAAAAGCAACTGATCATCCGTGCAGACATATCATCAAACAGTACGCACGCATTCCAAGAAACCAAGAACTTGGGGTGAATGCTGCAATTGATATTACCGTCGCCGCCGTCGGTGTCGGCTCCCGCCACCGCCGCGAGGGCGAGGAGGAGAACGCCGGCCAAAGCGGCGGCCGCCATTCTTGGCCTCTCTCCCTCCTTCCTACCTTCACCTTCTCCCCCACCTGAAAAAGAAAGAGAAGAATATCTCCCTCGCTATCTCCTTGCTTATAGTAGCAATCTTGGCATCACATGATCACCACGGATAGCTAATATATGCTCTCGATGGATGCTGATGCTGCTGCTGCTGCTGCCATGGTTGCTTGAGGAAGGAAATCCAGTGTGGTGTCGGCAAAGATTGAAATTCTTGATTTCTTCTTAGCTTCTCCCCACTCTCCCACTCTCTCTCTCTCTCTTGCTGCTGCTGCTAGTCCGCAGTGAGGTGGGGGTGTGGCAGTACAGCTGCAGTGAGTGAGTGAGCTTTTGGGGTTAAGATGATAAATGTGGGAGCGGAGCAACTGTTGGAAGAAGACGCTGATGGCTTCATTGATCAACACCGATTGTGACCCTCTTCCACCCGATTATTGACGTGCTTCTACTCTCTCACTCGCTCTCTGCACTACCCAACACTTCACTGTGAGCTTTAATTAATCACTGGCAGTGTCAAGTCGTAAGTTGTAACAGGAATGCACCTTTGCTACAGATGAAGAGGGACCTTTTTAACGGTTACAAGTAGGTATGAAAAATGTTCGAAAACGGTAGCATCTTCACGAAAACCAGTGATGATTACAATATGATGATAAAAGAAACAAAAAAAACAAATATATGGGGTTAGAATAAAAACGGTTGGTATCAGTTTTTACAAAAAAACTATGCTCAGTTGGTCGGAAATTTCTATCACCCTTTTTATCCCTATCTTTTTCTTTGAGAACACGGTATAAATCCAAGAGCTCACAATGTTTGCACACTCGCTGTTATAAATGCGCATACTTACACCCTTCTCCTATGACACCTTCATAAAACTAAGCTGGTATATCTTGAGATTGAAGGAGTCACTATAGACACATTGTTATCGACAGGTGCATCACCTACCACTAAAAGAATAATTAATCGTAAATACGAACACCTGTGTTAAGTCTATAACTCATATGGATAGACTGTTTCCACCGCAAGTGGACTAACCAATTGAGTTACACACACTCCACGTTTTCGTCCCTACTAAACATTGTTTAAGGTGGCCAGTATGTACAAATTGTCTACACTTATTATCACTCATTAGTTGGCATGATGTTTTGCTATTGACAAACGAGGGTCTAATAAAAAAAAAGAGGAGAAATCAAAATTCGGTAGTGTGAACCGAAGGTTTGTAAGCAAAGAATATATTGTAGTTTTCACATCATGTTAGTTGTTGTTTTAATAGATTTACTGCAAAATGTCGGTAGTGAATTGATTAGTTAGGAGCATTAGTCATTAGGGAACCATTCGTCAAACATACCAGATTACCACCACCCGAAATCTGTGCGACGTTCGACCAAACTGAGTACAGTGTTGTTAGCTAATTAAACAGCTGAGAGGACAGGAAACTGTTTGGTGGATGGCTACATGTGTTTGACAGGCTGAGAGCCTTGCTAATCAGAATGTTGGCAGGAGAAGCTAATCCAACCATTTGGAAATATAAAGGGAAAGAAATCAGTACATATTGTATTTCAGTGTCCTACAACATTTATTGAATTAGGCCAGAGCCAAAGGTTCTTCTTAGAACTAGTACAGATACTTATGACAACGGAATAAACATCACACAATTAAGTCGAAACCAAGAGACATAATGCTTCTCCTTAGGTCGAAACCAATAGACATACGAGGTCCCATTCTAACCTTCGACGTAAATAATCCATTATGTGAAGTACATGTGAATTACCAATAGTTAGTCTAACCTTATTTGTCGAAGTACATGTGAATTACCTTTTATTCTTAACCAAATTAGACTTTTCATGTGAAATAAATGATGCAAGTAACTTGAACCGTTTGAGAGAGCTTATGGGACCTGTTTGGGAGAGCTTTCTGCTTTCAACAATGCAAAAGTACTCCCTCTGTTCTAAAATATAATCATTTTTAGCTATGAATCTGGACAATCCAAAAATTGCTATATTTTAGGACGGATGTAGTAATTTTTTAAGAGTATCTTTTTTTTATTGCGGGGTTTTTTTAAGAGTATCTTAGGCTTCTAGCCGCCGTAGTTTCTTCAAAAATCAGAAACTCTTTCAAACTGTCTATTTTTTATCTAGATTCTGAAAAGTTATAGTTATAGAATTTAGAAAAAATAAACTAAAAGCTAGAAGCTAAGAAATTCACAAAAGTTGTATACCAACCAATTGCTTCTCAGAATCTTACGGCAACCTCAATGTTTATGGTGTAATGTAACCTTAAGGTGAGACACATGAATAGTAGATCATCGTTAAAGTAATTCCCACAATACCATCATTAGAATTAGCCACAAAATGAGCCTGCATCAAATGAAAAAAAAATGTTTCAGCTCTCGTTCATGAAGTGAATGAGAGTGAAAAAAATTACTTTCTATTTGCTTGTGTTGTGGTAGATCTCAAGGATAACCACAATGTATATGACTTATTTTATAAGTGTAATTGTTGTCTTAAGGTTATATTTTTATTGTGATTGCTTTAAGTTCCTCCAAACAAACCTTTAATTTCGCAGCTACTAAAGAATAGCTGTAGATTTTTGGAGCAGCTGCGACGGCCAAAAAAAAAAATCCCCCTCCCCCTCCAATCAGTACGTCAGTACCTCAATAAGTTTCCAACGAGCACGTGATTAAGCCAATAGTAGAAGCTGAATTGCGGAATAAAGGTTGAATTCGAATCAATCTTGGACACTCCCCAAGCTTTCTTAGTTTAACCAAGTTGGAAGCTCCCAGTCTCATGCTCGCCACCAATCCGGTTTCTCCCCGTATTAATCAACCCCATCAGATCACAGCATCTCACCAATAGGCAACACCCGTGACAAATCGTAACCTGTGAGAGGCAGCGCTCGTGGCCAGTAGGCCACACAGGCCACAACCCCCATGATCATCAGATCACCGATGCACCAGCGGGTAGGAAAGTAAGTGAATCAACCCGCGAATCCATTTATAAACAAAATTAGTAACCCGCGGATTACCTACTAATTTAATCTATAAATGGGTTCACGGATCGTCCCACTTGTATCCCTAGATCATATTTCGGTATTTCGTTTTTGGCGTTTGTATCGGAGAGTGCCGATATACCAAAATTTTTGAAATTTCAGAAATTTCGGTCCAAAATTTTAAATAAATTTTGATCAAATTTGAACAAAATACTACCAAATTCAAAAAAAAAATCGGCCGATAGGACCAAAATTTCGAAAATTTCTTTCTGCAATTTTAAACCTTGCCAGAGATACGGTAAGTCGGATCACGACATGAGATCTCTAGAACTACTTATTTATTTGATTTATAAGTGAGTTCGCGGGTTGACCTACGTGCTTCCCTACAGCGGCGGGAGGAGAGCAATCGCTCACCGCATCCGCGTCGGCGTCGCGCCACCGGATAGAGCCGGGGAATTGTTGGCGTTTCTTCAGTTCTCACGCACTTTTACAGCTCGAAACCGCGCGTCCGGTATTTTGTCGGCGTCTCGTTCCCGTCACGTCGCCGCGATGGACCCCCGATGGTGAGTGAGCCCACCACGGTCCCAGAGCACACAGGTGGTGAGGAGGAGGAAGGAGAAAAGGACGAAATCATTGGGGGTTTTTCTGATCAGGGCTCACCTACTTGTCGTCAGTTGTTGGTTGGATCGACCAATCCAATTAGCCAAACCGACAGGTGATTTTACATTGTACTCTATCGTCTTGCAATCACTTGCTCCCTTTTATTCACATCTGTTAAGAAAAAAAACACAAGTAGCTGATGAGCTCGTAGTAGAACAATTAAATGAGGAAGAGGAGACGAGATCCATTTGTTTAGGCCACAGCAAAGAAAACCATGTCGCAACAGCTAATCTCTGAAAAGAGAGAGAGAGAGGTGAGACAGAGACAAGGAAGCGAGGAATGAGGCCGTGGTGATGATGAAGAGGACGAAACATTTCCAACCAGACGATGTACTCTCCATTCATCTTGGAAAGCAACACGTATAACTGTAAAGGTGTCCTCGTACTCTCTGTCATTTTTCTGACACCAGGTTAGGATCTGTCACTGCATACAGTACATCTCTCCGGCCACGAACCTGTGACAGTGGGACATCAACCCAAGGACAGAAGAAATCCAATTCCGGTACATAAAGTTTTTGTTTTCTTCTACCAACTAAAGACATTCTTGACGTATGTGGCTGATCTGCTAGCATAACTTTAGGCTTTTCAACACTGGAAATCCGACGAAAAGCTGGAAAAGATTGTACTAGAAAAAAGTGAGGCTTTGGCTAAACAAGAACTGTTCTAGTAATAAACAATTCAATTCACGTCGGTTGGGCTCAGATTCTAATTAGCGTAAGAACATTGGAAAAACAGGAATTAAGGAGCACCCGTTGCAACTAACTTTGTCCATAAGTACTACCAACATTCTAGTACCAAAGAGGGCGTTAGATTAAGAACAAAGGAGCACAGTTAAACGCACCAAACGTGATGTGGACTGGGCAAGAAACAGACATGTAGAGCAAAAGTATAGCACTATAGATGAATAAGGACGAGATACCCAGATCTCACTGTTTTACACTCTTCATACCTGGAGCAGCTATTGGTCGAAGCCATGGAAGGCAGAAAAGGGTAGATTCAAGAGAAAAAGAAAACTTGGCATGAAAAGATAGGGGAGGAAATTTGCACGCTTCAGATGGGATAGTGTGCTTTGTTGAAGAGAGGGGGGGTCAACAAACTGTTTTCTGTCGAAGCTACGCTGTCTGAATGATTACCGAGTTGGCGACGCCAGCTTCCTCGATAGTCTTGCTCATGTCATCGAGCGGCTTTGGGGGGAACCCGGCCTGGAGCGTGTAATCACCGGCTTCTCCTGGCCTTGTTGTGTCGATGAACGCCCGCACATCCGCGATCGTGTGGCTCGTGTTGAAATGCGCGACCATGCGGCTGCCGTCCACGAACCTGATCTGCAGAGAGGTCGATGGCAAAGAATCATCCACTGTGATCGTCACGGTCTTGGAGGCGGTCTCTGTGCTGGAAGCAGCGGCTGCTGCAGAAGTAGCCTCCGGAGGTGTGGAGTTATTATCAGAAGGCGTCCCCAGAGTTTTTGCCGCTCCATGGAATGGAGCTGCGCGCTTGACAGGTTCCTACATCATTCGAGCAATGGACATTGTCAAGGCCGGGATCGTCGTCTAGAACAATTGAAACAGTAAAGCAAAGGCTGACAAAACTTACAGGACACTTTTCCTCTTTCCGAACAAGATTCACATTCACCTGAGACTTCTTATCAGCTGGCTCAAGCTCAGATGGGCATTCAGAATTCTTGATGCTCTGTGCAATTGAAAAAGGAAAAATAATAGATTGATTAATTCACATTCCATTTAGCAAGAGAAGACATAACCCAAATTCATAAACATGTAACAAAACAAAAGAAATGGCATGCATAGCAAGTTACAGAGGACCTGAACATAAAGTGCTAAGAATAAGATCAAAATAAACAATAGATCAAGCAACAGAATAACCATAAAAGAAAAATGGTAACACTAAACCGAATTTTACCAACAAAAAAAAGCCTCAGTGCATTTTTTTAATGTTGAGATTAGTTTGGGTAGTTTTACTGAACAAGCTACCTGTGAAATGTGAAATCCAACTATTTTTACTTGGTCCAGAAATTTTCAGAAAGATTTCTGTTTTGCAATGGCAAATTTGGGGGGGGGGGGGGAGGGGGGGATTGGCCAGTACCCTTCCTACCAAAACACATCTTGCCCTACATCAATTGATGAGGACCAGCCCAAAAATGAGATAAAGGTTGTGAGACACTATGATGGAAGCCAGCTGAAGAACATCAATGGATACACTCAATGAAAGAAGACCATTCCAGTGATTTGTTTTCATCATGAGGAATTTATTTTAACTAGCCATTACGTTAAGCACAACAGGGTGCATCATGATGACAAAATATTGCAACAGCTACCACTCTAGGTCGGAAACAAGGTGAATTAAGATATTCCAAAACAAATAAATGGTATAAGTACATAATGGCACATGAGACAAACATAATAAGCAGATAAAACAGGTACACATTTTGCACAGGTCAAAGTATTTACCTTTAAAAAGGAAGCATTTGCTGGATCATCAAAACTTCTAAGTGGACCATCATTTACTGTGAACCCATTGGTCCAAAAATAGATGTTGTGGACAATACTTTCTGGTGACTGAGGCGCAACAGGCTCTGCAGATTCACCTGTTAGAAGTCTGCCTGTCCCAGCAAAGCTCTTTGATTTCCGGCGAGCCTCAAATGAACCTTTCTTTGCTCCCTTCCTCTTAGCTTCCTTAAAGATCTCATCCGCACGGTTTTTACGCTTAGATCGATCTCTAACGACCATTCCACTGCACGAGGTAATAACAAGTTATAAATGTAGGTTGGAAATGTTAATTCACTCATAACTCAAACAAACAGCTAGCTTATCACGAATTTAACAAACAGGGGATCATGTGTTTTGCTTTATAACAACAGTAATTAGCAGGTATTAGCCACCCTAACAATGTCAAGAGATCTGATTATGATCATGGCATTAACAACGCAAGGATTTCAAACTCTCCAGAATATACTTTCCTTACTATAAACATAGTTCCTTGTATCTGTGTTTCACATGAAAATTCTATGGCATTGGTTTTCTACAATTCTCCATCTATTTTGTGGTATATGTTAGCCTAAGACATGCACATAGACCAAGATGAGGAACCAAGCCTAAGAAGTTACTGAGTACATGTGAAAGCATTACAATTACTACAATTTTGTCTTCCTCGATATACAATTTTTTTAAAACAATATACTCAATAAAACAGACAAACATTTTAAATGGAGAGAGTAACAAGAGAAGGCGTGATTTGATTTGGAACTACAACTAGAAACCAGAAAACTGCAATTGTCACATTTAAGTTGGATGCCATCAGATTTAACTAATCCTTTGCCATGTGAATATCCTATACTAGTAGCTAAGGTGAAGCACTGCATTTTGATGCTGCATTGAATGAGCTATAGTCTCAAAATTTTCAACACATGTGAGTACAAACTACAAACTCAAGATACAGGTCATTAATGAACCACTTCTCTCACAGTTCACAATCAACTCATGTGCTCCAGAAATGCCAACTTGCAAAGCATAAATTGTAACATAACATATAAATCCTGGTCTACACAAGGACACCATATCATTATCACAAGGACTGCAACATAGATCAACAATTTGTGGCTAATAATGCAAAGGGGAAAATCAGGGACTACAAGGGCCAACATCTGGGCATATAATGCAGACTTAGCACTCTCCATATTGAAAGGTTCAATCATTTAAAACACATTTGATAATTGTTGCATCCAATCCAGCACCCCTGTCCTCCTTCAGCGGGCAAGCCAATCTTACAAAATTTAGCAAAGGCCTAAGTAAAGCAACCTAAAACCCTACAAATTTGTTCACCCAAAATAATCTAGCTAGAAATGAAATGAACATCACAGAACCTTACACGTGGCTAAACTCACAACCAACTCATGTGTCTCTAAAAGTGCAGAGCTGCCAAGCATAAGTTGCAACACAACATCATAAATCCTAGTCTACACAAAGACTATTATTATCACAAGGATTACATGGATCAACAATCTGTGGCTATTATTATTAATAGGGAAAAATCAGGTACTCTAAAGGGCCAACATCTAGGCATATAATGCAGACTTAGCACGGTTCATACTCAGGAAGCATGATAGCTCCCATCATTTTGAACACATTTGACAATTGTTGCATCCAATCCAGCACCCCTGACCTCGTTCAATGCAAACCAACAAGTATCTTACAAATTCTAGCCAAACCCTAAGCAAAACAACCTAAAACCCTACAAATGCGTTCATCCAAAAAACAATCTAGCTAGAAATGAAATCGAAGAACCCTAAGATACAAGGCGAGTAGAGCTCACCTCTTTTCGCCTCCGGTGTATAATTCCTGCGGCGGCTTATACTCGTCGTCCTCCGAGTCCTCGGACCCCGCGCTGTCCTTGCCACCGCCGAGATCGGAGAGCGTCCGCACATTCCCCTTCCCGCTGCCGCTCCCGCCACGCGCGTTTTGGCCCCTCTTCAGCCTCTTCAGCGGCCTCCTCCGCTCGTCCGACGCCGCAGCCTCCTCCGCGGCGAGGGCGGCGTCCTCGTCGTCATCATCGTCCCCCTCCCCGTCCCCATCCCCATCCCCGACGTAGTCCTCGTCGTCCTGATCCTCGTCGCCGCCGCCGACGACGTAGTCCTCGTCGTCGGAGTCGGCGCCATCGCTGGCGGGCGGGGGAGGCGGGGGCTGGCGGGGGGGCGGATCGGCCGCGTCGGCGGCGGCGGCGGAGGCGTCGCCGTCGGCGGAGTCGTAGAAGGAGCGGACGGCGGACTCGAGGGCCCAGTTGTGGCTCTCGAGGAAGAAGGCGGCCTCCTGGGGCGTCGCGGAGGTGACGCCGCAGAAGGACTCCACCAGCGACTGCGCCTCCGCGGCCGGTGGCGCCCTGGCGGCGTCCCCGGCGGCCATCTCGGTGCGGGGCGGCGGCGCGTCGTGGGGATCGGGGGGGGTTTGGGGTTTGGATCCTCCTCTCCCCTTCGGCCCCCTTGCGACTTGACCACCACCGCCTCGGCGTTTGGGCCGTGACGTAAGATAATGGCTCGCGCTGTGTCTTGGAGAAGAAGATTTGGGCCGAAAGGCGCGTTGATATTTATTGGGAATAAGTTCATCTAAGGTCCCTTAACTTGTCAACGAATCCGATTTTCGTCCTTCAACCGCAAAACCAGATACAACGGATCCCTCAACTATCAAAACCGGTGCAGATTACGTCTCTCGGCAGTTTTTATAGCGGTTTTGGCTGACGTGGCGCCTATGTGGCTAATTTGACTCGGTCTCGATCTGACGTGGCGCTTACGTGGCAATTTGCTCCAGAAAAATAATAAAACCAGTGGGACCCACATGTCAGTTTCACACACAAAAATAATAATAATAATGGTGGGACCCATGTGGGCCCCATATGTCATCCTCTTTCTCCCCTCTCATCTCTATCCTCTCTCTGTCTCTCCGGTGGGAGAGGACCACGTGAGGTCCGCCGTGCCGAGGCTCGGGAAGGCCGATGGCGCACAGGAGGCGGACCTCGCCGTCGACGCCGCCGCCTGCTCCGTGCACTGCCACGCCTACGTCGCCAAGGACACATCCAAGTTAAGCAGAGCACCACCGTTGCCACGAACACCATTTGATGACAACACTTCTTGAAGAAATCGATTGGATCAAGCAGGTGCTGCGGATGCGCGGCTTCCAAAGAAACCTCGTCTACACGCGCGCGTGCATGTGCCTCAACATCATCCCTCTCTCCCGGCCATGCGCGATCAGGTGAGACGCCGCCGCCAGCGACGCCACCATCACCACCAGTCCACCACCACCACCACCTCATCACCATCTCGTCGTCTCTAACCGTTCGACGCATTAATCTTTCAGGTACCTGTCGATACAGTGGGGCATCGACCTATCCAAGGTGGCGGTGCTCGTCGGCGAGAAGGGCGATACCGACAGGGAGCGCCTCCTCCCGGGGCTGCACAGGACGGTGATCCTGCCGGGGATGGTCGCCGCCGGCAGCGAAGAGCTCCTCTGCGACGAGGACGGGTTTACCACGGAGGACGTCGTGGCCATAGAGTCCCCCAACATCGTCACCCTTGCTGACGGCCAGGACATCGCCGCCGCCGCCGACCTCCTCAAGGCCATCTGAGCGAGCTGGATGCTCTGCTATGCTATGCTCAGCTTCACTTCACTTTTGCAAATTAAGCTTGCTTCCATAGAATATTGGAATGGAAGTATAATTAATCGAGTCGGCTCAACGGCGGCAGCGCCTGCAGCGGCAACCGGCGAGGGGAAGAGGAAGGGGCCTCCCGCAGCGCCTCCTTCTTCGCAGGGAGGGCGACGATGGCGGCCTCCATCTCCCCCGTCGTCATCTCCATAGGCAGGCCGTGCAGCCCCGGCGTGCCGCCCGGAGATCCTCGGTGTCGAGGTGGCTGCGGCGGAGACGGCCTCCCGCTCCCGCTGCCACCCGCCACGGCCTCCCACGGCGGAGACGACCGCTGAGAGGCAAGAAGGGAGCTAGGAGGCGAAGCGGCGGCGAGGGATGTGGCGGTGGCGGGAGCGGCGGCGGAGTCGGTGGTGGTGTTGCTGGACAGAGAAGAGAGAGGAAAGGGGATAGAGATGAAGAGAAGGAGACGAGGAGAGAGAGGAGGAAGAAGGGAGGGTGAGATTGACATGTGGGGCCCACGTGGGTCCCACCATTTTTTTTATTTTTTCTGTGAAACTGACATGTGAGTCCCCGAATTTTATTATTTTTCGGATCAAATTGCCACGTAAGCGCCACGTCAGATCGATACTGAGTCAAATTAGCCACGTATGCGCCACGTGAGCCAAAACTGCCATCGAAACCGCCAAGGGACCTAGTTTGCACCTGTTTTGATAGTTGAGGGACCCGTTGTATTGGTTTTGCGGTTGAATGACGAAAATCGGATTCTTTGACAAGTTAAGAGACCTTAGATGAACTTATTCCTATTTATTGGGGATTTTATTTTGGGCTCCTGGTGGACTGGGAGGGATTCATGGAGAAGAAGGTTTGTGCCGAAACGGTTAGGCCTGCCTTGAGAAATTTCGGTCTTTACTCTGCAGAAGCCCAGAGGTTTGTGGGTCCGCACTCTATGAGCCGCATTTTACATGGGCCACATTTCAGCCCATGTCTTGGTAATAGCTGGTGATTTAGCCCATATAGGACCCGTTTGGTAGAGCTCCAAAAGTCCTCTCTTCTGTTGGTCTCCGTGGTTGTTGATTGCGGCGGCTGCAGGAAGGTGGCAGCGGCGGTAGCCGATCGGCGAGGAAACTTGCGGAGGGATGAGGATGGCTGGGAGAGAGAGGGGAGAAGGCGGCGCTGAGCCACTGACACACCGACGTCCTTGGAGATAGCCCACTATTTCTTTTTTATATTTTGTCTGACTGACACATGGGTCCCATATTTTTATTTTAGTTTTATTTTTTATTTTGTTTCTAATGCCACGTCACCACCACGTAGAATAAGGACCAAGTCAAACCAGCACGTAGGCGTTACGTCAGTCGGAACTACCATCCAAACCACCTTGGGACCTTATTTGCATCGGTTTAGACGATTGAATGATCCATTGTTTTTGGTATTTCGTGTCAGGACAAAAATTGAACTCGTTGTCAAGTTAAGGGATCTAAAATAAACTTATTCCTTCTAAATTTAGTTTCAAGAGTTGGGATTTGAGTGAAGTTGTGGAGCAGTCTAAACACAACTCCATCTATCTTGTTCATTTTGCAGCCGACGAGGTCGTGCTCTATGGAGGTGGACCTGATCCTAATTGGAGCCGACGAGCTCATATCATCACTAAGAGCCGTTTAGATCAATTTGCTGTGGTAATTTTTTTTAAAAGTTTTGGTGGTAAAAGATTTGGTATTAAAGTTTTGCTAGATGGTATTTAGATGCATGGTAAAGCTTTACCATTTTACTAGTAAAGACAGAGAAAGCATGGCTTCCAAGTTCCAACGCACTTTTTTGCAAAATTTGCTACTCTATAAGACTCCCAAATAACAAATGTCAAATTGCCAACTTTTGCTACTAGTGTTTAGATTTATTTTAACAAAAAGTGCTCTAAAACAGTAAAACTTTTACTATTTTAGAGGCCTAACATGAAACATCCTCATCCCTCAGTCACTCCTCCCCTCGCTCACTTGGATCCACTCGCAGACGATGCGCCGCATTCTTGTCCGTAACACTGGATACGGTTGGATGGATGAGCCCCATCTTCACGATAGTTTTGTAATTAACCAACACGTTCGTCTATGATAGTTTTTTAAAAAATTTAAAATGAGCTTCTTATGTGTTCTTCTATGCTCTTTAGACTTAGAGCACATCATTATTTTTCAACTTTCACTTCTGGCCTCGTTTTCTCTCTAGTACCGATGTCTGATGGACTATCGGCATATACAAGTATTAGCTAGGTTGGTGCTTAGGTATCATGTCTGATTCCGTAGGGTATCATCGGGTATCGATGAGATACCAAATCTAGTACCGTTGGGTATTAGTCTGTGCCAGTGTGACATAAGATGTGATATCCAAATGGTATTGTACTATTCGAACGGGACACCATTCATTAACGAGCTATTTTACGGTCAGAAAATATACAAGGTACTACTTTTTATATTGTAAATTTATACCTCTTGATACCTAGGTATTATGAGATACCATTAAGTATCAAATTTTACACTAAATTTTTATTATCTCATGTTACCTCATCAAGAACCGTAGAATTGCTCTTCAGTAACATTCCCCCTTTAACATATGGCTTGGATGTGGATGGATTTTAAGCCTTTTAGTTTTAGGTCAAATTTTCCGGTCCATCTACTTTGATGTGTTTAAACTGGGGAAAAAGTACACCGAAGTTCCCTCAACTTGTCCTCGAGTTACAAAATCATCCCCCAACCATAAAACTGGATACAACGTATCCCCTAACTTAAAAAACAGTGTAAACTAGGTCCTCAGCGGATTTGACCCCGGTTTGTCTAATGTGGCGGCTGAGTCAGCGTAGGACCCATGTGGGCCCCATACGTCAGGATGCCACGTCAGCGACCAGCCTCTCCCTTCCTCTCCTTTCCTCCCTTCTCTCTCTCCCACTCTTCTCTCTGGATTGGGCAGGCCGGCCGGCGGTGGGGTGGTCGTTGCCGGGGCGAGGAGGTCCGACGGCCGGCCGCGACGTGGCGGCGGCGGCCGGGACGAGGACGTTCTTCTTCACGGGCATCCTCCTAAAGCTCCCGACCCAGCGCAAGGTCCCCGATTTGCGCGCACGCCGAGAACGCCGCGGCGGCGGCGACGGTGTCGATGCACACGCCGCTATCATCCGCCATGGCCGTACAAGAAACGACGTCCCGGCCAGCCGGCGGGGAATCCGTCGAAGAGCGCCCACGCGGAGGCGAGCTCGACGCGCGCGAGGTAGAGCTCGACGAGCCCATCGCGGACGGCGAGGCGGTGGTCGAGGCCGAGCTTGGCCGTGTGTGCGTACACGGCCGGCGCGGCCTCGCCGTGGTCGGCGACCAAGCCCTTGATAAGGGCCCTGAGGCAAAGCGGCGGCAGTGGCGCTCCGGCGAGCTCCTCGCCGGTGCCCTTCTGCGAGCTGCGGTAGCTGTACTAGATTAACTTCTTGCATTTTTTTTGCCTAATTGTGATTTGCCAGTAGAATGACACTGATTTTCTATGGCCTCTTAGTTGGATGAGATAAGAAGAGATGAGTATGACGAGATGGCATTTGTAGCACGAAATTAATTTCTTGCCTGTTTCTGCTGGATGCCAAATTTGCAAGCTTTGATTCCCGATTTAATGGCTGCGATGGCTGTAGATAAATCCCAGCTGGTGGATCCCTTGATGTGTCTCGATCGAGTTCCGGGAGGCAGCAGCAGCAGCAGCAATGTCCGGCACCGCCAACGCGACCTCGCCGGCCGCCGGCGCTGGCACGCCGTTGTGGACGCGGCACAAGACGCTGGTGTTGCTCCTCCGTGCTCCCGCCGCCCGCCGCCCTTCCCTTCTGGGTCGCCGCCCCCTCATCGCCGGCCGGCCGTCGGACCTCCATGCCCCGGCGACCTCCTCCCCACCGCCGGCCGTCCAGAGCCCCACAGAGGAGTGAGAGAGAGAGAGGAGGAAGTGAGAGAAGAGAGGAAATAGAGAAGAGGCTGACGTGGCATGCTGACATGTGGGGTCCACGTGGGCTCCACGCTGATTCAACCGCCACACAGGACAAAACCTGTATCAAAACCGCTTAGGGATCTATTGTAACCGGTTTTGATTAGTTAAGGAACGTCAGATATCTGGTTTTACAGTTTGAGGATGTTTTTTAACTCGATGACAAGTTCAGGGACCTTCGATTTACTTTTTCCTTAAACTGGTCCGTCCAAACAAGGCCTTAAGTGGGTTTAATCTGAGTTCACTCACATCACAATAAAATAAAAAGGTACATTTCCTTTCATAAAAAAAAAATCTGCTACATTCATGTATGACGCATCTCAATTCAACAAAAAGAAAAAGAAATACAGAACGATAAATTCTTCTCCAAAACATGGGAAATTTGAAACTGAACTGTAAATAAAATTTGCTCTGCAACTTTCATCGGCTATACAAATTACAAAACCGGATGATAAAGCCTGCACGTTAGCAACAGGAAGCCGCACGCGTGCACAACCGCAAACTAAAGCAGCAAAAGTACATACAAGTCCTAACGCTCTACATATATCGCTCATTTACTAAGGTGGTGTTAGCGCGAACGAAGCAATGGACTCAAAATCTGTACACCGCTAACACCAGTTTTTATACAAACATCAATACATACGTACGTATACACATACATGCGTATACACATACATGCGCACGCTACTATCGTGAGCACCCAAAAATGACTCCACTCACGAGGATCCAACTGCACAGCCACGCATCCGCAAAATTGCAACCCACCAACCAACCAAACATACATGTGTTCCAGAACAACCTGAACTTGTTGTATGCAGGAAAACTTTTTTTTTTACCTCGCTTTCACGAGAAACCGATCGTCTTGCCCAGCAGCCACAGGAAGAGCGTCCACTCGAGCATGAATATCGTGTGCAGGTAGGACCTGTCCAGCGTGAACCCGAACACCGTGATCCCCGCTCTGTTGTTCTCCAGATAGGTCACTGCACCAAACATGAGTGAACATTTTATTTCATTATTGTCAAGTTGCATACACCGATAAATTCATCCAAAAAAGTTTAGGCTGATGCAACAATGTACAATTCACTTTTTACGTTGTGAGATGTAGAAGTTGAATTTGAACTTACATGTTTGTAGAGTGATATATCATATGTTAACACGTCTCCTCAATCTTTTTTAAATTTTTTCATAACCATTTGAGTGACATGCAAACAACGATGAGATATCCCCTCGAGGGATGAAAATAATTTCCCAATTCACTTAGGTCCAATTCTTTTCTAATTAAAATGTAAATTTTACCTTGGTTTCCATTATCATGTTTTTCAAACTGCTAAACAATATGTTTCATATGAAAACTTTCTCTATAGGAGTTACTCCAAAATACAACAAATAAATTTATTTTTATGTTCATAATAATGAAAATTCAATTAATTATGTGCTAATGGTTTTCTCGTTTTATATGCATTTCTCATGTTCGAACACCACCTTAGCTATCATATCAACGATTATTATCGAAGTAACTGGATGGATCATGAAATTGTTACTGCTGTAACGGTATTTACCTAGAGCCTGTCTTTTCTGGAAGGAGATGACGTGTGCTTGGGGCAGCATGATCTTGGTGTTCTCGAGCAGGTCCTCGTCGCCGGTCTCCTCGCTGGACTCGCCGTCGCTGTCGCTGACGGGCTCCACCTCGAGCATCGAGCTGTGGTTCGACCCGGGCTCCGCCTCCTCGTCCGGCACCGGCTCGATGGTACAGCAGGCGTGCCATTTCGTCGTCTGCCCGGTCAGCGCCTGCGCCTGGTGCGTGATCTTCGCCGCGCTGCTCAGGATTATGATCAGCCCTGACATGAGCACCACTGAACACAGCTGCACAAAATCGAACCAGAAAACGTTGTTACTTTTTAGGAGCAAGGATTTAATTCGCAGAATGCAGGGAGATTTTCCATTTCGGAGTTAGTACAAGTAGTAGCACTGAATTAGCAAGGTGTCCACCCAAATTGTTTAATAGTTGTAACTTTACAGGTCAATTTGTGCTTAATTTAAGCATCAAGAAATGTTGGTTCCGTGTAAATTAAGACAAGATTGTCTGGAAGTTTCGTTTCGTCCATGATTGGGGATGATTGATTGCTATACATGGGATGGAATCGAACTTTGGGAACCAAATCGAGTGTTGCTGATCAAAGAATTTGGCCGTGATCGGGGACTCACCGCGAGCTCGCTGGTGTTGAGGAGATCGTCGACGGAGTCGTGGCGGGTGGTGAGGAGGAGGGAGGCGAACTGGCTGGCGGTGGCGATGAGGAGGGAGGCGACGATGAACTTGCGGAAGCGGTGGCTGATGACCTTGAGCTGCTTGCGGATGTCGAGGTGCTCCCGGAGCACGCGCTCGACGCCGGCCCTCCCTTCCTCCACCTCGACGAGCAGCGTCCCGGCGAAGTCCTCGAGGCGGAGCCCCTGAAGGTGGCAGATGAGGCGGAAGAGGACGCAGGTGAGGAGGTAGATGGCGCTGCGGTACATCCACGCCGCCATCTCGACGGAGCAGGCGACCGCGTTGCTGAGCACGTCGTTGCCGAAGAAGGGGACGCGGTCGCCGGAGGTGGCGTACCACCACACCTTGTAGGCGGCCTCCGCGGCGAAGCACGGCGCGACGAGGGAGGCGAGGAGGCGGAAGGAGAAGGAGAGGCGCGCGGTGTAGTTGAGCCTGACGCGGTCGCTCTTGGTGCGGAGCTTGTCGAGGTAGAGGAGGCGGCGGAGGCCGATGCGGCGGAAGGAGGAGGAGAGGCAGAGGAACCCCGCCGCGGACGCCGCCGATAGCGAGACCTGCACGACGGCGGAGAACGGCCTGCGGGACGCCCGGAACGCGAGGAGGAAGTGCGCCGCGGCGGGGACGGCGACGGCGAGGAGGAGGAAGAGCAGCCACGACAGCGCGGCGCCCCAGGGGCCCGAGTGGTCCATGCACACCCACCGGAGGCACGACCGGAACCACTGCAGCTCGTCGTCCGCCCGCGACACGCACCGCTGCAGCATCGACGCCCGACCTCCCCCTCCCCCACCCCCCTTCGCCGACGCCGCCGCCGGCAGCAGCGGCTCCCCCGCCGCCGCAGACGACGCGCTCGACCGCCTCCCCATCGAATCGGTCGGCCGAACCACTGAACTAGCTTGATCTCGCTCTCGCCCTCGCCGCGCCGCGCCGCGTCGCGCCGCGCGCGCGCTCTGCCTCCCTTGGGTGGTGGTGGAGTCCAATGGCGTCCAGGTGGAGGAGAGAGAAAGACGAGGGGATTGGCCGCTTGGGCTTTTGGTTATATAAAGAGGTGGGAATGGGAATGGGAATCGGGGGTGGAGTGATGGGAATGGGATTGCGTGTGCCTGGGATCTGGGTATCTGGTGGTGGTGGGCCTGGTGGCGTGGCGTGCAGGTGTGTGGTGGGGGAGGCGCAGGGCGGCAAGGCGAGCCGGCAAGGGAGGCGAGCGAAAGATTCGGGAACTTTTATAATTTTTTTGAACTTTTTAAATTTTATATTTTAAAAATAAACCTTTGTAAAACTTATTTTTTAAAAACCTTGATCTTTTAGGTCCTGTTTGCTTTAACTTAAGATTGATTAATCCAGATTATTGAGGTAAAGGCATATTACAATAAGCTAGATTATACTCCGTAATAAGCTATAGTAGAATAACTTATAAGTTATCTGTTTATATGATTATTGGAAGCATGAATTATTAGGTTTGAAAGGCTAATGCCTATAATGTCCCAAGTTATTTTGGATGCCCTTAGCTATTGCAAAGTGGGAGAAGGATGAGACGGCGAGTGGGAGGAGGATGAGAAGGTGATGGCGACAAGGCTTGGGAAAGGAGCTGGGGCGTAGGGTGGGGGCTTAGGGGAGGAGGATGAGAAGGCGGCGGCGACACGGCTTGGGAAATGAGCTGGGGCGTAGGGTGGGGGCTTGGGGAATGATTCGCACGTAGGGTTAAGGGTTTGGGGAAGGATTTGCGCTCGACTGGGGAGAGAGGAAGCGGATGCGGCGCGCAGCTGGAGGAGAGAGGAAGCAGATGTGCTCAGGCTGTTAGGTTCAATGGCAATGGATAATTTCTATAATGTTTTTAAGGGTAGTGGGTCTTTAACCACCCAATAATATGAAAAAAAGTACGTTTAGAGGAGATTACCAGATTATACTAACCTAGTTTATAAATTATAATAATCTACCTATTTGTTCCAAATTATTGCTAATAATCCAGATTATAATAATTCTAAGCTAAAACAAATAGGGCCTTAGTCACGCCAATCAGGATGGTGTGGCCAAATACACCATCACGCTAGTCAGACCAGCATGACAAAATAACGTTGTCACGTCATGTAGATCAACGTGATAGTGTTGTTTCGTCACTATAGTATGACTAACATTCCTAAAAAGTTCAAATGGAAAATAAGTTTCGGAAAAAGTTTACTTTTAGAATTTAAAATTTTAAAAGTACAAAAAATAAAAAAATAAAAAAAATCAAGATTCGGATGCTTACTACTTCACCAGCAGGGAGAGGACACAAATTGCAATTTCTTATCAGTAAATTTTAGGATGGCGCGAAAATGACAGGCTTTGATTTTATTTGACGTACGTTACCTTGTAGAGCCGCAATTGGTTTTTCCATTACCCTGTTTCCGCCGATGAATGGAAGCTTACGTGACCAGAGGGTGAAGGTTTTTATACTACCAATACTAGTACCTAGTTAAGCCGTAGTTTGGAACGTAGCTTAGGAGGATCCCCTAATATAGCATTATCACGCGTGTTTTGGTGCTGGGGCAGTGCATGTTTTTAACATTATTTTACTAGAAAATATTATAACATAGGTTTAATAGACGAGGCCAGAGATTACTCCGTGGCCTAATTAGAAATATGTTCTTACAAAGGCATAATGACGACAATAAGCTAATAAATGATGCATATCATAAATTTAAAATCAATGATTATGCATCTTTTTCTAACTTCGGATGGAGATTTACAAATAGAATTAAGTAATTATGGTTTTTTTTATCTTGTGTTGGTGTTTTTTAGTTTGTGTTTACTTTATGTTATGTCAGTACGTGCTGAGTGTTTCTATGTGTGGATTTTATAATAATTGGCTACAGCTCATTAAGCAAAGGCCAAAATGTTTATTTCATTACCTAACAGATTAGAAATATGTTCATGAAAAGTGTATGCGTGCTAGAAGTGGAGTGCACGCATATACTGTTTACATGCGTGTTTTTCATGTAATCGAGAAAAAATAGGCATGTAAGTGAAAAAAAGAAAGTAATAAAAATCTGAAAAAGGTAAAATTTACAATGCATCACAAAAGAGGGGAAAAAACAACAATCTCAGAAAGAGGGGGAAACTTATGGCCAAATCAAGCACGAGAACTCGCTCTCACCCAGAGAAATTATTGTGCCCAACACAAGCGGTAATCGACAAGCGTCACCTGATCAACGGCATCCCGGAGAGGGCGGAGGGCAACTGCAACAAAGAAAAAAAAAAGAAAATCCAGCTGATCGATCGCCGGACCTACCGCGACAGCGGCCGCGTTAAGTTCTCGTCGGCGTCTCGCCAACAACAGCAGCATATGCCTGCAACTCTGCAGAACAGCCAACACATATGACGTTTACATTTTCTTGTGTTCTTCGTTTTCTCTGCATTTTTCTCTTCGGTTTGTTTCATAATTTATGTCACAAAATACGATAGCTATAGGTTGTATATATGCATGTCGTGATCACGATTTCACAGGAGGGGGGGGGGGGTGATAACTTGGAGCAATTATGCAGTTCCTTTCGTTTTCGGTATTGTTCAGGAATCTGTCAAGATCCGAGGGGGATTCATATGCCACTAACTGAATCAGAAACGCGCGTAATTGCAGATTATTTCCAAGCTGCATGTATGCGCGGTAATCATCCACCACCAGGCACATATCGTGATTCAGAGAAGATATATCTTCCAGATCAAGAGAAGGGAAGATATCTCAGGAACCAGTTGTTACAGTTGTGTTAGGCCAGTACAGTACAGTATTCTTCCAACAAGTTCTGACAAGAAGCTTCACGAGCTAACGAATTATTACAAATTTATAATCGCCAGATGCAATGATTTGCAAGGAAAATCAAGGAGCAGCAGACGGTGCGGCGAAGAACGCGGGCCGACTAGCCAAGTGAGATGATTAGCAGTAAACCACCGGGATCACGACCAATCATCCATGTGATCCAGCCTGATTCCTCACACATAACCACACACCCTGCTCATCTGCTGGGCTAGCTGGCCATCAGCAAGCCATATCCTCCTGCCTGTGATCTAATCTAACCAGATGATCAGAAAGCGACCGGATAACAATTCAGAAAAAACTTATCCATAATATAAATTTCAAAACTTAATTTTCGAGTTGATTTTCACATTTTTATATCATAGTTTCTTTTTTAATATTAGCTTTTCAATCGCTAAGAACGCATGAAAATTCTAATTATATAAATTATTATTATCTGATGCTAATAAATAGTATGATTTATAATCAGCTATGAGCGAAACGGTTGGTCTTTTGCTGCATCTGATGATTGCATTCATCATTGCAGGTACAAGGTTCTGGATCCGGCACGACGTGTCGTCAGAAACCGCGGTTGATATCTCCAGGTGGTAGTGTGGCTCCAGATTCTTTAATTAATCAGGTTTACTTAAAAAAAGATTCCTTAATCAAGTGATTAGTTAATCCTAATTGAACTCGGAAAGCTGTCGCTACGCTTCCAAGTGATGGTAGTAGTACTGTAGTTCTTTGGCTCCTGAAGGGACAAGAACAGATGATGCTGAGTCACACATGGTCTAAAAGTAAAGAATTGGCAAGTTCTTTTCATTCCCTTTTGTGCTGTTTGATTGATGAAACATGGAAGCCAAGTCACCTTGATCACTTGGCCTTTTTTTGTTTGGACTCTTGGTTCTCCTATAGGTCATGTACTCATGTGTTTGCTTATCTGATAAGAACCTGTCAATTAATACATTGGCCTTTTTATCACAGCTACTCTGTGTTATCAGAGTACTGTACTAATTGAGGAGAAAATGTCAGGCTCTTTTCATTGAAGGGAAGAGACTAAAGAGAAACTCAACAGGAGCAAGAGACTTGGACTCTTCTCAATAATTTGATATTTTATATACAAATTAACCTGTCTAGAATTATTTGACTAGAGCATTATTGCCGAAAAAGATAACAATGTCAACGCCAAGCACTTGTCAAAGCCTTTTTCCTGTCCCTGATTTGCAGCCAGATATGACACATAATTCCCTGGAGGCAAATAGAGAGAGCCACATGAACATCTGGCTCAGTTTGCTGCCAAGTTCTTGGCAACCCTTGGCAGCACAAAGGAGGACATGAATAAAAAGGAAAAAAAATCTGGAAATAAAATAAGTTCAGTTAATTTGGGTCTCCCTCTGACCTTTTCTTTTTGGGGTAAAAACTCCTTTTTCCTTTTCTTTTTTATTTGCAAGAAAGCTCTGGCTCTCTGTCATACATCTAAAGAGGAAAAACATACTAGTATACAATTTTACTTTGTTGTCTTGTTTCCATATAAAGCTACCAACCTCTTCTTTCCTTTGGTGGCACTGGATATGCAAGAAATAAAAATCATCTATCTATATAAGTAATTCTACATTTCAGCTCAATAATATCTCCCTCCATCCCAAAATAAATTAACCTGTGACCCATTCTAGGTCGAGTTATTTTGGGACGGAGCGAGTATGCCAGTAACCTATTATAAACCTCACAAAGGTATGAAATGGCAGGTAGCCAAGTTGAATCGCGTGCATCTCCATGACCTCAAAGCTGTCAAATATCTCATCACATCCCATCAAAGCTAAGTCACGCAAATTACCACCATTCAGCTCAGCGGCAGTGACGGTTGCCGCTAGAAATCAAGGGGGAAAAAAACCAATGACGATTCATCATTCATGTGATTTTCTACCAAAATAGTTGGAAGGGAAAAGGAAAATCCGGACAATTGGGAGTTGGGACACCTGGGACCTCCTAGCAATTCTGGCGGCTGTAGCGCCCAATTCAGATACTCCATCTCTTTTTGATGGCAGCATCTCAACTATCAACATCACAACACATCTGATTGGATTTGTTGCTAGAAGCAATAGATCTGATAGACAATAGAAAATAAGAATTAATGGTACAAAAACAAATTAGGTTGGCCATATTCATTTTTTGCAAGAGACCAGTGAATCAAGAACATTGTGATTACAACGAGATCGAGTAACAATTTATCAAATCCTTTATTTTCGTGTTATCTAGCATGGTGGAACTGACATATATACTTTGACATGACAAAGATGTACTGATGGATGCAAGCTCAGTGAGACTGAAATCTTCAATGCTGAAACTTGTCATACAGCTGCTACTTTGGCAATGCATACAGCCAATGGTGAAATCTGGTGGATCTGGTTTCAGTGACGCTTAAAGAAGTCGACCATCGGTCCGTATATGAGTTCTGGAGCATTGTAGGCCATGATAAAGTCGGCATGCGCGTAGTCTGGCACGTAGATCACCTCGATGCTGTCGCTGTTGTGCTTCTTGACCAGCGTCCTCAGGAGGTGCCTTGTGTCGGGGACATCGCCGAGGTAGTCCTCGCCACCATGGGTGAGGAAGATGGGGACATGATTCGGAATGGAGGAGAGGTTGTACGGCGGTGGGCGTGGCTGGTTGTAATGCTTCATGTTATCCTTGGCGTTGCCGTAGTCGAACCTGCTGACACCTCCATTTCTTACCACTGTTTTGGAAGGTAGATCAGGAAATAGAAGAGTGAGTGATGTGACAGAGGTTTGAAGAATAACATCCTTAAAAATATTTCTGATAAGAGGTTCTTACGCTGCGACAAGTGAACGAGGTTTCTGACGGAGGTAGACTGTGGAGCATGCTCTAGAAAGGCACAAAAGGTTGAAGTATTGAGGCAGCAATCTGGTCCTTCAGTCACAAAATCAAATCCATGCAATTGGTGTTACTAGGATGAGCTTAATATCACATATTGTTTAGGGCGTGGTAAATTGGAGGAAAGAAAAAAAATACCTGCTACAGCCGAAAATAGATCATAGCAATTAATTTCAGGATCGCCGCATATTTGGCTTAGAACTTCATGTGCAACTGGCCTGTCATGCAGCAGGACACCCATAGTAGTCAATGCTTACGGCTTTAAGTAAGCACAATCACATTTGGGCCTAGTTATCCAAAATACCAGTATAAACTGTAGACTATCCCTATATAGCAATAGCAAATTTGGTGACAGTGACACATCGTTCCATGATACGATAGTCACGTTATGAGTTACAAGTATGGGCATCTCTACTGGTAATTAATAGAGTTGCTGTGATATGCAAAAACTACAAGCAAGAACTTGGCATTGAAGTACATTTACTGATTTTTTTTTTCAAGTACATTAGAAGTTTTGTGGAAGTGCCTACCCAACAGGATTGAACTCGTAAAAGCCTAGCCAGTGAACTGTCTGCACAAGACAAACAAAGAGATAAATAGAATCAACCATGATCTGCCAGTAACAATAAGAACAAGAAAGTTTACAGCATTTTACTTCTGCAAGGAAGATGTGAGCAGCAAGCTTAAGGAGTTTGGATTTCGTCCTGCTCAGATAAGCTATTGGGCAGAGCAAAACAGCTGATCGCACTACATCTAGTAACTTGTGCTCAGAGAAGGCTGCAAGAATCATCAAGGTTCCCTAGAAAAATGCAAGTAGCAATTTTTTTTACAGCATCACTGAAAAGGCAGAAGTGTCTAGTAATTGACATTTTCAAGTGGCACATATGAGCTCACCAGGGAGTGACCGATATAGTGGATTTTCTCGCCTGTGTGATCATAGGCAAACTGCAGCACTGCAGGAAGATCGTAGGAAGCAAGTTCGTCCCACGACCATTCCCAGTAAGCCTGAAAAGAGTACCCAACATGCTTTTAGTATAATTCTATGGCAAATTAAATCTTGATAAAGCTTGAGATGAGAACCGGATCTTTTGTGGAGAGTGAGGTATGGTTCCGGCTGGAATTTGTTCCACGACTATTGGCAATCCAAACATCAAATCCATTGTCTGCCAAAATAAATCCAAGTGATTGTTTTGGAGTACTCATTACCCAAGTAGCACCATCCTGTCCAAACAACACACTTGATTCAGGTATGATGAGAGCACAGATGGCACAAGATTGGTACAACAATGTCCTTACCACCATAAGTCCATGGAAAAGCAGTACCGGTGGCCTCATCTCAGTCGAGGTGTTAGAGTCATGAGGACCATGGGGAATCCTCTTTAAACTAAGAATGTAGCCATCTTCTGTTGTGACCTGCAAGTCATGCCGTATACTTTATAAAAATGAGTTTTTTCTTACAGAAGCGAACCATACAGGACTAAGATGTAGTCGTACCTTGTATTCTTCACATGGATAGCCAAAAGCTGCTGCTCGTGACTGGCACATACTTAAAGGATGGGGTGAAGGGGCACATCGATCAGCGATATCATTCATGTAACTTTGGTTCCTCCATGAGAGAGCTCTGTGCAGATTAAAGCCAAGGAAAAGAACCACCAAATTGATTAGATAAAGAATCCTAGCCATGAAATTATGTAGGATTTTATGTTACTATGGTGGGTAGCCTAAGGATTTCCAAGAATCGAATAGCTATCTGAGGAGCACAGAAACAAAGTGCACGGTGCTATATTGGGTATCTTGTTTCTTGTCATGAAGTACTTAAAAAGGTGAGGCCCATGACCGACATTGTCCATTTTGGCCAACTTGTAGGATGGCATTTACATGTGAACAAGTTAGGAAGATAATGTGTAGAGGAGTTCTTTCGCTACTTATGGGCACATATTTTTTATGAGAGAATCATGAGCATGCAACAGGTTATATATTAATTCTTTCCAAAACTAAATTGTATGAGTGTAAGCTATCGAATAAAACAGAAGAAAGAACATGTGTAAAATGACTCATGCCATATTGATGATCAGAAATGACACCCCTGTACGAACACTTCAGCCCTATCGTGTGAACCCAAAGTCTGTTGCAGATCACTAACAATGTTTGAGAAGAAAACGCAACCTCCTTTGATGCACTAGCAGAATGAACAAAATTTTAGAAGCTGCCAAACTACTGGCCTGCATCAGTTGCGCAAGTACGCCCTTCGAATACACCGGCATTTGTCAGTTCATCCTGGAAATAGTAGGATGCTATGCCATGATATTCAGCTTCTGTCAAAGGGAAAAATAACTCTGTGTGGACCAAGGTCATCGTGGGGGCATTCTTCTTACAACCTATTTGCAACTCCAAGAGATTATGTATATGATTAGCTAAGTTTAGAGAGTAAAGAGGTCTGTAAAAAGGAAAAAAGATCCCAAACAGAGGGGTAAAACCAACAGCCTAGCTAAATATTGACTCTCCATATTCAAAAGGGTCCACGTCACGGCTCCCGTTCTTCCGGACCGGTTGACTCCGCGACTTCTCGTTTCTCCGCTGCCGCCGCTGGTTTCCGGCCATCGCTTGGACGTCGTTCACAGCCGGCTGCTTCCTTCTGCACGTCGCTGCCTCTCGTTGCACCGCGTCGCCGGCGGCAGATCGTTTATGCATGCCGCGCGCCTCCTTGTTGCGTCATCACGCCGCCGCCGGCCACTCATCCAACAGGTGCGTGCACTATCGCCATGTAGAGGAAGATTGGTACTGCAATCTTGCGTGAATTCAATTAACATCAGTAGAAATTGATCACTCTTGCGTGCAGGGTATGGAGTCTGATGATGAATTTAATGAGTTCGTAATGAACGAATTGATTGATCCCTCTTCGTCGAATGAGGAGCATGATCTATTTTTTGGTGCTGCGTAAATGATCATTGAGGAATCAGTAAATAATCTGGGTCGAATTGGATCTGTTCAGGGACATGAGGTAGTGCATCGGGATAGACTATTGTGGCACAATCTTCTTTACAAAGACTATTTCTCAGATAATCCAACGTTTGGACCAAACATCTTTAGACGCAGGTTCGCATGTTCTCTATAATGTTTATGTAATTTTTATGTGCCGTGTTTTATAGTATTGCTAATTTAATTTAATTGCATCATGATATAGGTTTCGGATGAGGCTTCATGTATTTCTTCGCATAATGAAAGCTGTTGAGGAACATGACGATTATTTTAAGCAGAAGAGGAATGCAGCCGGTGTGCTCGGATTATCTTGTCTGCAGAAGGTAGTAGCGGCTTTCCGTATGTTGGCTTATGGAGTACCAGCTGATGCTTTGGACGAGTACATTCGTATTGGTGAGAGCACCGCTCTAGAAGCTTTGAGAAAGTTTGTTGCAGCAGTTGTTGAGGTTTTTGGGCCAGAGTACATGAGGAAGCCTAATGAACAGGATGCTGCTAGGTTACTTACAATTGGAGCGAGCAGAGGATTTCCTGGTATGCTAGGTTCCATAGATTGTATGCATTGGAGCTAGAAGAATTGTCCTACTGCATGGCACGGGATGTATAGGGGCTATAAAAAGGAGCCTACAATTATACTGGAAGCAGTTGCATCTAAAGATCTATGGATATGGCATGCATTCTTTGGCATGCCAGGTTCACACAATGACATTAATGTGCTTCAACGATCAGATATATTTGCAAGGCTCGCTGAGGGAGAAGGTCCACAAGTTAATTTTGACATCAATGGTCATGAATATTCGATGGGTTATTATCTTGCAGATGGGATATATCCATCGTGGGCAACTTTTGTGAAGACCATTCCAGAGCCACAAGGTAATAAGAAAAAATACTTTGCAAAGGCACGAGAAGCTTGTCGAAAGGATGTTGAAAGGGCATTTGGGGTTCTACAATCTTGCTTTGCAATTGTTCGTGGGGCGGCTCGTATGTGGGATGAAGACACGCTCCATGATATAATGATGGCTTGCATCATTATGCATAACATGATTGTTGAAGATGAGCGAGATGACTACGAATACAACTTCAACAATAAAGGCCAATATGTTTGCAACTACGACGACATGGGAGAAAGGGTGTCAGTGTCCCATGATGATGCACCTTGTAGCGTCCGTTCCGTCGTGGCGCCTAGTGGGAAAACTATCTCTTAAAAATCCTAAATGCGAAAATTGTCTCCTTGTTTGTTGTCTAGTGTCCGTGCCATTCCAGATCTCAATTCTCCAATCCATCGTCGAAATCCAAACCCTAATCTCAAATCCATCCCAAATCAAATCCTCTCGAAAAGTCTATTTTGCCTCCCTCGAGTTCGTGGGCCGATCTCTTCTCCCCGGCCCATTTCCTCCTCAGCCCAACTCTCCTCTCCCCTCCATCCTTGCCCGCACGTGTGAGGAACGTGCGCCGCTTGGGCGCTGAGCGAGAGAGAGAGAGAGCTCGCTCTCTCTCTTTCACTTCTCCCTCCCTCTCTGCTCTCGTTGCCGCTTCCCGCCGACGCTGCTCAAATCGCCGCACCACCCATTGCTTCCCGTGCGCGCGCGCCGAGGTGGCCGACCGGCAAGTCGCCGCCGCCGTTGTCAGCGCCTTCCGCGCCTGAGCCCGCATCTGCCGCCCTGTAGCCGCGCCCTTCCAAACCGCCCCACCATCATCGCCGTCGTCATCGACCCGGCCCCGCCACTCCGCGCGCTAGCTTCCAAGGGATGGAGGCAGAGCTCCTCCTCCTCCTGCCTCGTCGCCCTCTCTCCCTCCTTCTTTTCCCAAAGAAGCAAGGGGCAAGCCCCCTTTCTTTCTTCCTTTTTCCCTTTTCTCTTCCACCGCCGGCGTCATCCTCCCTGTCGCCGTTTTGGCCGCTAGCCGGGGCGCTAGCTCGCTGGCTTGACCGCCCAAGGTCGGTTTCTGAACCGACATAGCCGCCCTATAAACCCGATCCCCTCCCCCAAACCCATCTCCCTCGCTTTCGCCTTCCGCCATTGTCGCCTCGCCCCGTGCCCTGTTCGCCGTCGCCCTTCGCCGTCGCGTGCACTGGAGGAGCCGGTGCGCGCTAGGATCGGAAGGGGACTCCGGGCGCTCATCTTCTTCCTCTTCCCCGGCCCGAGGCCGGAGAGATCACTCCCATGCCGTCGGCCTCTCGTCACAGCACCCCGTCTCGTCTCGGTAGAACACCCCCCCCGTTCTCCCTCCTCGCTCTTCCTCCTCCCCTTAGACTCGAGCAGTAGCTTGTGTAGCCTCCCCGTAGCTAGCCTGTGCCGCTCCGACTGCTGCCGCCGCTCGCAGTAGGCTCGCCGCCGTCACCGCCGCGCTCGGTAGTAGCCGCCCGTCGCCGGCCTTCGTCGGCGATGTTCCGTCCAATCCGACGCTAGAAACGGATTCCCGGAGTCGCGTAGATGCTCTAGCTCGCCCGAATCGATCTCCCGTCACGCTGTCGCCGATTTCCCCCTTTCTCGCCGCCGGTTGCCGCCGCAGCAATCCGCCGCCGTCGAGCTCCCTCCGGCGAATCCGAGCCGTTGGCTCGCTCCCTCTCTTTTCCCCTTGTCATTCCGGTGTACACCCCGTCACCCTCGTCATCGCACGGCGTCCCGGAGAAACCGCCGCCGCCCGCCGTCCATTCGCGGTCGGCGCCTTCGTCTTCCTCCCGCCGGCCCGCGTGGCAGCCACGAAGGCGCCACGTCGGCGCTAGCTCGGCCGGACCGGGTCAAGCCGACCCCGTTCAGCCGCTTCCTCCATCCCCGCTCGCGTGCGCGCGGCCCACGGAGAGCCGATAGGCTACGCGTGGGCCACTTGCGCGCCGTGTCCACCGCAAGCCACACGCGTGCACCGCACCCACCCCAACCCTAGCGCCGCGCCGCATGCACCTCGCTCACGGTGAGCCGAGCCGCCGACAAGCGGGTCCTACTCGGGACCACGCGAGGTGGACCCAGCCCACCGGTTCCCCTCCCCCTCTCCCCGCGCGTGCCTTTGGGTCGCCTTCTCGGGCCGGCCGGCCCATTAGCTCGGCCGAGCCGCGCCCCTTCTCTCGGGCCGCACCCTAGCCGCCCGAGGGAAGTCTGTTCCTCCTCCCTCTTTCTTTTCTTTTTCAAAGGGTTTAATTAAATCCTTTTTCCTTTAGACCAAAAATCCAATAATCTTAGAAATTCAATATCTTCTCAACCGTACATCCATCTGACTCTGTTCAACTTCCAAAAATCCTCAAATCTCGAGATCTACCCAATGGCACGCTTAGAGGTCAATAATAGGGCTTTAATTTTGCCGTTTGTTGAGTCGTCTCGTTCGCGTGTAGCTTCGGAGCCCGAAGACTCGGAGTGCGCGGATTTCGAGGATCAAGCTCAAGATCTCGAGCAAGGCAAGTCACCTTTGATCATCTTGCACCTAAAATTTAAATATAAGTATTTCTTTTCCGCAAATAATGCATGGATAGGATTAACACAAGAAATTTGGCCGCGGCTTGCGAGATAGCCTACCGGCCCCAATCCTAATTGCTGCAATTACCCTCCTTGAATTATTGAACACTTAAACCTCCTTTGTCGACTGTTGTACTTCGATGGGCCTTCGGGCACGCACATTGGAGTCCTCCCCTCAAATTTAAAATATCCAACAATGGGTAAAACTTGGGTTTTACAAAAGACTTGGAAAAACCCGACGCCTGGGTCGGTGCTTGCGAACTAAATGAATTTCCAAAAATCACAGACCGGGGGACGTGTCGGGAGCACGGTTTCCCGCTCTTGCACTTAAGGACCTATTCCTTTAGAATTTCATCCGAACATATAACAAGTACGACCACATGGATGGAATGGGACACCCCTGGCTGAGTAATTAGCTAATCAGGGGAGCCTTGATGCCGGGAGACAAGTGGATTCACCAGGGTGGTGTCGGGGAGGAGCCCTGGGCTTCCTGGCACAGTATGGTCTGGGACCTAACCTGTTGTTGGTCTGCGACCCCTCTCGTCGGCATATGGTAAACCTGTGTCGGCTCTCAAAATGCCTTGTCATGAAAGCCTTAAGGTCACCAGACGTGGCTGTTCTCCACGGGCTAGGTGATCCGGGTTAGTAATGTCGTGTGGGTAAAGTGTGCCCCCTCTACAGAGGTTATTAAACTGTTCGAACAGCCGTGGCCACGGTCATGGGCGGATGTAAGGTGATTCCTTAGCGTAGTTTTGTTCGACTACTGCTTGGTGAAATTGCTGTTGGGAATTCGGGTTCGATGTTTGGAACATTTGTAGCCGATGGGATCAGCTAGGCCCGGCTGGCCGTTTGAAAGTTGTGGCCGGGTGCCAATCTTGAATCAATCAAAGACTGATACATTGCACATACTCCGACCGGACGAGATGCACTGTCTCATCCGTATCATTTGAGAAGCACTCACTTAGTTGTTTTAAAAAGGAGTTTAACTAAAAATCAATTGTAAAAACAACAGCCTTTCCTTTGAAGCCTTCATTAAACACATAATTTCCATGACTTGCTGAGTACACCTGTACTCACCTATGCTCTATATAAATAATCCTCCCCCCAGTGGCTAAAGAAGATGAGATGGACCCCGCTGACGAGGAGTTCTTCCAGGAGCAAGTCGGCTATGATGAGTTTTAGGGTTTCGATCTGGTTCCCAAGTCGCGCCTGTGATGTTAGGTCCAAGTCTTGGCTTCCGCTTTCCTCTTTTGTGATGCAGTTGTGAGCTCGGGGTCTGTCCGCAGCCCAACATGACTGTACTCCTACTCTATAATAAAGAGACCTCTGTTACTGTGATATTCTGTCTTCCTGTGATACCAGCTCTATTTCCTGGGACTGGTATCGGTTAACAGGTTAATTTGGAGCGTCACGGGCTGGTTCCGTTCGGGGCTAGTTCGGGGTGTGACAAAAGATGGTATCAGAGCACAGGCTTGGCCCTATAGCGAAACCCAACGTTTAGGACGACTCTAAGGATGCTAAGTTCAAAAATACTTGCAAAAAGCTAAGGCTTCTTTTGTTTCCTTTCTTTCAGTAGTTTATTTCTAAAATGGTTACTGATCTTTTCTCCCTGTTTCAAAATTGTAGATGGCAGTGAACGCCAGCTTCAGTTCCCACGGCTTTGGTGATGGTCACCACGTCGCTCAGCTTCGTGACCTCACCCGCTTCCTTGGCTTCTCGTGTCCCGAGTACACGGGGTACTCTGTGGACCGTGTCCCCCCTCGTTGTGAGCTTTCGGTGTACCTTTACCCTCGTGGAGGTATACACGGGGCTGGCCTTCGCCCACACCACTTCAATGTGGCCAGGCCCACTCTCCAGATCGCGTACCAGGACCTCTCCTGGACGGCGATTCATCGTTTGGCCCACGACTACAGCCACCGCCTCGGGGGCTCCGTCTTTCGGCAGCTTCCACGGCTTCCTTCAGGCCGCACTGACACCAGGTACCCTTGTCTGTACCGCGAGTCTCAGCCCGTGCTGACTCGCATGGTTGAGCTTTCTGAGGCTCAGGCCACTTAGCACGACCTACTCCTTGAGGCTTACCGCTCCCTTGCACGCCGCTACGCTGCACTTGAGGCCCGCCTGGCCGAGGAGGGTGTCACCTCAGTTGACACTACCTCTTGGGACTCCAGCCGCCTCTGCCACGCCAGCCACCTGTCTTCCCACAGCTCCCGCGGCTCTGCTCGCACTCCCAGTGGCCCGCGCTCCCCTAGCTCGCGTGCGCCGTACTCACCAGTGTACTCTCCCTACCCACACCCAGTTAGTCCCTCCTACACCCCCGGACACACTCCAGTTGCTTCCTTCCACCGTGGCCCACGCTTCATCCGCACTGCACGGAAGCGTGTTGTTGGCTCTTCCACAGTGTTCCGCTTCGACTACTGTCACGCCCGGAATTTCTATCCAAAATTCCAAACGCTTACATGTGTGTGAACCCTCGTCCAGGAATCAGCCGAGGCACACAATAACAAATTGATAATAGAGTACAATTATTACTCTAATTAATAAGCGAATAAAATGTCATTACAGAGGTAGATAGTTCCTCTCAATCAATAAAGATCTAAGCAGCGGAAAAATAAGATAAACGGCGCAGACGACTCCACTCCACAGGCAGCTCGACCAGGGCTACACCTAATCCTCCACACCATCAGCATCACTGTAGAACTCCTCCGCTGATGAATGATTACAAGGTGAGTATATGACATACTCAGCAAGCCACGCAGCAAATATGCAAGTGCACAGGATAACAAAGGATGGCATAGTAGGGTTTCATTTGCATAAACATCATTTAATAAACATTTTAGAATTTAATAAAATAGTTAAGTAGTAATTAAACAATATTAATCCAACGCTATACAACATACCCTGTTGTATAGGCCCAACCATTCTGAACAACCATCCCGGCTGCACAGTTCTATCTCCAAACCAGGAATGTACCATTCCAAACCAAGAGCTAATCAAATTATTACCAGTTATAGCATCTTTTATTATGGTGAGAAGTGTGAAACTAATCACGAAAGACATTGTTAGACCCGCCCATAACCGCGGGCACGGCTATTCGAATAGTTTTACTCTGGCCAGAGGTGTACCACTGTACCCACAAGACACAGCCCCACAACATGTCACCATGCGCCTCAATACCACCACGGTACCTCGGAAAGGAGCTGTGACAGTACCCCTCGCACAACACAATCCACCACAGCGCACCGTTCCTGGATCATAATCACCCCCTTATAAACAAGGCATGGACTCCCCAGCAACTCCCGTGGGCTTATCTTCGCCACTTCTCAGTCTGGTGCCCCGCAATGAACCATGCTATACAAAAGGTAAAGCCGTTGCCCACGCTGGCTTGTGGTTGGCACGGTTAATGTTTCACAACCAAAACTCGTGAACCGGTCCTTAATTGTCATGAGCACGACCATCAAAACCATGTGCTCACAACCCACCATTATCAGGTTTTAGTTGGCAAATTAATTAATTAACCAATCATGATTAACCATCATGAGCTATCATTAAGCCATCATTAAATAATAGTGAGTCATAAATTATCTCAATAGTGTGCTAATGTTTCTAAGCATGGCTAAGCAATCATATCTAATATCTAGCTGAACCAATATATAAAGCCCAACTAGTCAAGTTATAATAACCCAAGGTATCAAGGAATAAAGTAATCAAGAACAAAAGGGCTATAACAAACAATAGGTTAATTCCACCCAATGACATTCGAAAATAATTGCAATAGTTGAATAGAAACAATAGCTTTAAACGGGATCAACATGCTCAAAGGGTTGTTTGGGATCTGTGCGACTTGCCTTGCTGGCCTTGGAACTCTTCAAAATCTTCTCCTGCAAACTCAGACTCTCCGGAAACGTCGGAATCTAAAGAGAAAAGAGCAAAATCACCAAAACAGCACATAAACAAGCATGAACAGTACATGTGGATATTTTTAACATGTAGATCTCAATTTTAGAAAAAATTAGAGACTTGAACCAACTAAATCCGAGCTAAGATGAATTAGTTATGAATTTTTAAAGAGTAAGACAAGTGGATTCGCCAGGGTGGTGTCGGGGAGGACCCCTGGGCTTCCTGGCACAGTATGGTCTGGGACCTAACCTGTTGTTGGTCTGCGACCCCTCTCGTCGGCATATGGTAAACCTGTACCAGCTCTCGAAATGCATTGCCATGAAAGCCTTAAGGTCACCAGACGTGGCTGTTCTCCACGGGCTGGGTGATCCGGGTTAGTAATGTCGTGTGGGTAAAGTGTGCCCCCTCTGCAGAGGTTATTAAACTGTTCGAACAGCCGTGCCCACGGTCATGGGCGGATGTAAGGTGATTCCTTAGCGTAGTTTTGTTCGACTACTGCTTGGTGAATTATGTTGGGAATTTGGGTTCGATGTTTGGAACATCTGTAGCTGACGGGATCAGCTAGGCCCGGCTGGCCGTTTGAAAGTTGTGGCCGGGTGCCAATCTTGAATCAATCAAAGACTGATACATTGCACATACTCCGATCGGACGAGATGCACTGTCTCATCCGTGTCGTTTGAGAAGCACTCACTTAGTTGTTTTAAAAAGGAGTTTAACTAAAAAATCAATTGTAAAAACAACAGCCTTTCCTTTGAAGCCTTCATTAAACACATAATTGCCATGACTTGCTGAGTACTCCTGTACTCACCCTTGCTCTATATAAATAATCCTCCCCAGTGGCTGAAGAAGATGAGATGGATCCCGCTGACGAGGAGTTCTTCCAGGAACAAGTCGGCTATGATGAGTTATAGGGTTTCGATCTGGTTCCCAAGTCGCGCCTGTGATGTTAGGTCCAAGTCTTGGCTTCCGCTTTCCTCTTTTGTAATGCAGTTGTGAGCTCGGGGTCTGTCCGCAGCCCAACATGACTGTACTCCTACTCTATAATAAAGAGACCTCTGTTGCTGTGATATTCTGTCTTCCTATGATACCAGCTCTATTTCCTGGGACTGGTATCGGTTAACAGGTTAATTTGGAGCGTCACGGGCTGGTTCCGTTCGGGGCTAGTTCAGGGCGTGACACACCTGAACTATAAGCTTTCATTCAGAATTACAAAAAAAAAATGAAGAACAAGGAAACCCACACTCAGCTTCAGGTAGACCTCATCGAGCACTTGTGGCAAAACCATGGAGATTTATATCATATAGATTAATGCGTCCCATTTATGAGATTGTTGTCCAAAAGAGGTTTATCCCTATTGATTCTTATCATTCTCTAGACGCAGAACATAAAACATCTGAAAACTTTTTATTTGAAATATGCTTTGCATTTTGTAAGTCCCAGTTTGGACATTTAGAAAAAGAGGACGTATCATATGCATAAAGGCTGTGCAATTCTATGAAATTTTTTTGGCAGCTTTGGACATATTGGCTTGTACAATGTTATTTTTTATAACCTGTATTTATCGATGGCAGACCAAGGAAATGAAAGGGTGCAGGATAATGAAGCAGGGATAATAGCATGACCCTGAAACTGAAGTTCAAACATAAACTGCCGCACACATAATGTTGTCCGTCTGAAATTAGGACCATACTATATCACACATACTGCCACACACATAGACACTGAACTTCGACACAGACTCTAGACTCTGAAGTCTGAACATTTAGAACAGAACTGAACACAGACTCTGAAGTCTAAACATTTAGAACAGAACTGAACACACAGACACTGGACGCTGAACATTCAGAAACTGAACTACGCTACGAGCTGAACTTCTAGATATTGCAACGTCGAGCGAGAATCTCGTTCTGACGCCATTCATAATATTTCTGCTGATTTTAGTTCATTGTGCTCAAATCCAAACCTAGAATTCTCTCCTCTTCCACCTTCTCAGCCTTCTCAGCTTCTTTCTTCTGGAACTCAAACTTTTCTCTCTCCAATTTGTTCCGTTCTTCCTGCAGAGCAAAGGCTCTCTTGCACCTCTCTTCCTGCAGAGCAAAGGCTTTCTTGCACATCTCTTCTTTCTTCAACTCTCTCACAACATCAGCTTCTTTCTTCTTTTCCATCAGATAGTCCACTGCTTCTATGGTTCTACCCTGTCGTAGCTTCTGTTTTGCCGCCTTCTTTCCATCCGGTCTTACAGATGGTTGAGCATCAGAACAATAGACATCAAGATCAGCAGGTTCAACTGATGTAGGACTTGAATTTGCCACTGTCTTCTGTTTCTTATTGCTTGGTTTTTTGGCACATCCAACTTTCTTCCGATTGTCCATCCACTTGGGCTTGTCCTTCAGGATATTCCAGCAATGCATCAAGTTAAACTTCCTATGCTTCTTGTCTTCCTCCTTAAACAATTCACATGCATTTGCGATCTGCACATTTGAAACCAAAATAAACATGAGAACTAAAAACTGCGACAAATAATCATACCACAAAAATAATGTGTTTACCTTGTCATCAACTCTGGAACCACTCTGGTTCCTAGCCTCTATTCTGGACATACATCCACAGAAAATATTCACATCATGTTGTATTGCGGACCAACGATTCAATAAAGAGGATTCAGAACGCGTTGACTCAAACTCTTTGTTGGCATGGAAATATTCATGTATTCTTGCCCAATATGTGCCTTGTGATTGATCTACTCCTTGAATAGGATCCATGCCCACATTCAGCCAAGCTGACACAAGAAGGATGTCCTCCTGAGTAGTGAAATTTTTGGTCCTACCCTGAGAAATCTTGGCAGCTGTTGGAGCTCCATTGGAGATTGGATCACTAGTAGGTGCGGCAAATTGAGATTCATCAACATCATTTACTAGGAGGTCAGTGAAATAAACTGATTGCGTACCATCTGTCACAGGAAAATAAATGGAGAATAAACATCATGTAGGACTGTAAGCCGGCAATAGGGAAAGCAACTACACCACTGGTTCCATTCAGCATTTCAGGGCATGGGAAGCTCAAGATTTGCATGGGAACTCTGGCTGAATAACATGATATGCAAACCAGACAATTGTAGTAATGTAACTACTATCGAGCTGAATAAAATTATATGCAATGTGGACATTTGCAGCAATGTAAATAACAGAGTATTATCCTTTTAATTTACCTACTCTCTTGCAATTGTAAACTATCTTATTTTGTGGAAATTATTGTGATGTGAATGCAGGATGGAAGATTTATAGCAAAACGAGACTCAGGGTAGGTCCTGTTTATTTACTTGCAAAGAAGAAGCAATTTGATCTGGATGAATCTTTCATTCAAATGTACTGTACTAACAAGTAGCTACTCTGGTCAGGTGCGAAGAAAGACATCAATTTTATTTCCAGAAACCTACAACCAACATGAATGCAATCCCAAAATCCTCAGGTAGAATACATAACGAGCTAAACTTCCTGTGATCTAGTCATCCAACTAACAGCAAAGGGTTTGACAGACGTAGATAGTGAGTCTCACCTGTGCAGACCTCCTCATCGGTGACTTGCTCACCGATGAACAGACCTTGTGCCTTCCAACCATCGACGCCTATTGGAGGAACCACCCGATGGCGCATCGATCCAATACCCGACTGATCCAAGTCCCATTCCGGGCGATGAGCATCCTGATCCAAGTCCCTAGCCGCCGTTGAAGCAGGACGCAGCGGCCTCCACATGGCGAGACGAAGGCCGGGGCCGGAGCGGCGCGACGGCGGAAGGGCGGGGGCGCTAGACGGCGGGACCGACGACGGCGCGGGACGGCGAGGGCGCGGGACGGCGGGACAGGTGCGACGGCGTAGCACGGCGGGAGGGCGAGGCGGCGGGACCGATTGGGCGGGAGCGCGCGGGCGGGAAACGAGCGCGTGCGCGGGAGAGAGGCGATTGCGAGCGGGATGGTCATTGCAAATATGCAGGACGAGGGGTGACGGATGCCGAACGGGATCGCGAGCGGAGCGAGATACCGAGTGTGCTGGACCCCGGTTTTGACTCGTTTTGTTTTTTTTTACCGATCCAAACCAGATAGATAGATTGTTGGAGTTGCTCTAAGACAGCATGGTGCTTCAAATCTTTTGCTTTCCAGCCATCCCTTTTCCGTCTTCCCCATCAACACCCGCACCCGCTAGCTCCCCCCTCCCCCGTCACTAGGGCAAGCTTTCATCCACTTTCACTTCATCCCTTTCATAGTACAGCTGCCTCCATGACTAAGTGAGTACTAGGAAATGGAGCTGATAAGTACATTGGCAACACTTCTTTAACAGAGCACCTTCCGCATGTAAAATGAAAGGATGGATTAACACATGATTAATTAAGTATTAGTTAAAAAACTTAAAAATAGATTAGTGTAATTTTCTACAGTAACTTTTTTTATAAATTTTTTAATCAAAATATATTGTTTAGTAGTTTGGAAAGCGTGCGCACGAGAAATAAGAGAGTGAAGGTTGGTAACCTTTGTCAGGCAATACTCAAGGATCGAAAACAAAGCAGGGACATTGACGCTAAGGAAGGGGGGCCAAGGTGCAAACATATATAACATGGGGTGGCAATGAAGATGGAAGAGGTGATGGCAGGAAACACCGAAGGAACAGAAGTTTCTGCTGGATGCAACTTGCCAGCCCAAACTATTAAAGATCTATAAACAAATGAAACACAGAATAAAAAAAACAGAAGGTTTGCATAGAATTCAACTCAATTAACATGCACATTACATACTACTATCAAATTTAAAACAAAATATTATACACATAATTTTTAATACACTTAAACAGAAAAATACACCATATCACCATCTACTGTACCAAACACCATATGACTTCATTCAAGCATGCTACGCTGGGTCTTGCCGAGAAAACCCCCACACCACAAAACATCAAAGTGGTTTGGTCGTTTGTACTTAATTTAAGCAAGAAAGAAATATGCTAACTCCACAAAAAAAAAGGGACTAGTAAAAGCTAGGAGTGAGACAATAAAGAGGGGTACAAAACAAAACAATATAAAGCTTTGTTAATTCTTGAGAAAAAGAATACTGCATATACATTGTTCTTGGCCCGCACCTCTACAGTTTGGTGTAATTAAGTTGGTCATGTTGCGCGAAGTTTTTAGAATCAAAGTAAAATTGGTAGGACAATGCATGTATGTGACAAAAAGTTTGTATTAATTTATCGTTTGTTTTTAGGTGTCTACTGCTATTAAGGTTAAATTCAAAAAGATATATATATTCGTTTATTCTAGCCAGTAGACATTAGCAACTTCAGTTACTCTTATTTATGACATGGTTGGTTGTCATCCTAGTATCATTTAACTGCGATACATAGCAATAGATGTATATTGAAAATTAACTGTAGAATAAATTCAAACCAAATCACACCTTAGAAGATAAGATAAGATAAGATATGTACTTATTTAATGTAAGAGATATGCAGAGATAAACCTACAATAGTACCATTGCAACTATCATTTTGCTATATTATTATTTTGATAGTTGTTGAACAAATTTGTGGTTATACGCAGAATAGATAGATCGTGTTATTGTACATATGGAGTTTGATTTCATAAAATTGAAGATGTAATTTTTATGGACAAAAAGATATAGGAACAAGTCCCGTAAAAAAACATAGAAGATGATCTTGAAAGTTTATTTCATGAGTAGGAACGAAATTGAAACCAAACAATAGTCAATACTACCACCCCTGATCCAAAATAAATTAATTTCTAATCATTATGATTCAAAATTAGTATGAAGAGAAAAAAAAAACAAGGTGACCCTCATTAATAGAATACTGTTGGTTGGTAGATAGATAAGAGGTAATGATAGAACTCCTAGATTTATGGTCGAGGGTACGTAGGCGATATAAATTACTTATTTGGGGATAAATGCTAGAGAATAAGAGTGAACCTATTTTAGAATGGAGGTAGTAAATTTTTATAAATCCCTCTATATGAAAACAAGCAAGTCAAAATCGAATAAATTGTGTTTTCCTCAGTTATGTTGAGATCCATACCATGCACTTGCATTTGTTGATGGATGATGGGGAGCTAAGCTTGCATGTCCTCTTTGCATCTTGTCACATGTTAAATTTAATTTGAGCACCCGATGAGTGCACACTGGGATAAAATAAACCACCCACCGGTAGCACCCTTTTAACAACAAAAGATGATTCATATGGTATTGATTTGAATGAACAATGTACAAAAAGTGAGGAGGATGAAAGGAGAGGAACGAGGGATCTTGCAGGAGAGGAGAATGCCGGTGAGGCAGCAAGAGGAAGAGGTGAGGGTGTAGGATGATGCGTTTAGAGCCTACTATATAGGCGCTTATATAGGGAATTAATTGCCGCCGTATAACGACATAATTTAATAGTGCCACACCCATAAGCCAAGCCGATAGCGGGAAATTACGCCCATTTTTAAGTACTGGACCACACACCACATTCTAACACTATGATGACATTAATCCTGTGATCTTGAATCAAATTTATCCATGACCCAGTTCACATTGTCCACATTTCTCAACACTATTAATTGCAATTCGCACACAAAACTAGTGTTTATCACAAAGTAAAAAAGAGAGAGGAAAGATACAAGTTATCAAGTATCAACCTACACATTCTTAAAAAAAAGTCAATTCCTAACTATAAATCAGACAAGTATGGTTATCCACGTTCATATCTAGAAACTATCATTGATTTTTTTTAAGGATAAGAACATAGAGAGACCTGTGGAGATTATGGGTACCCCATACCCACACGGCATGGTTATCCGACTAGTTATAGGGGATAACTTATATCTATGTAATATGTAACAGATCATGACTTGGGTGTTATGTTTCCTTGTATATTACGGAACGGCCTAAAGTCCTGGTTTGATAATATTGTAAAGTAGATTTAGGAAACCGATACCGTATTGGTTAAGGTTTCTATCTTGTAATCCTGCTCCCCGTCCTATATAAGGTGGGCAGGAGGCCCTCTAGGGGGCAGATGAGACAACCTGATCGTCAGATCAATACACACTCGGCGGATTCAAATCCCCAAACAGGAGTAGGGTATTACCTCTCATTGAGAGGGCCTGAACCTGTCTAAATCCTTTGTCTCCGCATCCATCCACTTTTAGGTCTCGTGCGCTACCCCCTTTTATTATTGCCGAAATCATGTTTCGACAGTTGGCGCGCCAGGTAGGGGTTGCGTCGAGTTTCCTATCAACGAGCGCGATGGAATCAATTTCATGAGTCGCCGACTTCGTTTTCGCTTTGGGAGTTTTCACTTCCTTTCCGTCGATCACTTCTTCAAGCTCCTCTTCTCTGACTTGATCCAAATCAGTCAGGGGGAAACTCAATCTGATTTTTATCATTATTTATCATGTTGATTTTTAATCTCAAATTAATCTCTTGCTATTTTTTGTTGTTGTTCGCATATAATTACGCGGCACTATTGAGGCGATTGATGCTGGTCATGGACTCGAGGCGTCTCAGCTTTCCGGTCGATCGGCCGCGAGTCCACTCTGCCGGCTTGTCTTCGCCACCGCCATTGCTGATAACAACAACGACTTCACCGCCGGCCCGCCTCCATCGCCGCCGATTGGTGCCTCCGCCTACACGGCTGGCCTATTATGCCGCCGCTGTTGGGCGTCTACGACTTCACCGCCGGCCTGCCTCCGTCGCCGCCGACTGGTGTCCTCGCCTACACGGCTGGCCTATTATGCCGCCGCTGTTGGGCGTCTACGACTTCACCGCCGGCCTGCCTCTGTCGCCGCCGAGTGGTGCCTCCGCCTACACGGCTGGCCTATTATGCCGCCGCTGTTGGGCGTCTACGACTTCACCGCCGGCCTGCCTCCGTCGCCGCCGACTGGTGCCTCCGCCTACACAGCTGGCCTATTATGCCGCCGCTGTTGGGCGTCTACGACTTCACCGCCGGCCTGCCTCCGTCGCCGCCGAGTGGTGCCTCCGCCTACACGGCTGGCCTATTATGCCGCCGCTGTTGGGCGTCTACGACTTCACCGCCGGCCTGCCTCCGTCGCCGCCGACTGGTGCCTCCGCCTACACGGCTGGCCTATTATGCCGCCGCTGTTGGGCGTCTACGACTTCACCGCCGGCCTGCCTCCGTCGCCGCCGACTGGTGCCTCCGCCTACACGGCTGGCCTATTATGCCGCCGCTGTTGGGCGTCTACGACTTCACCGCCGGCCTGCCTCCGTCGCCGCCGAGTGGTGCCTCCGCCTACACGGCTGGCCTATTATGCCGCCGCTGTTGGGCGTCTACGACTTCACCGCCGGCCTGCCTCCGTCGCCGCCGACTGGTGTCCTCGCCTACACGGCTGGCCTATTATGCCGCCGCTGTTGGGCGTCTACGACTTCACCGCCGGCCTGCCTCCGTCGCCGCCGATTGGTGCCTCCGCCTACACGGCTGGCCTATTATGCCGCCGCTATTGGGCGTCTACGACTTCACCACCGGCCTGCCTCCGTCGCCGCCGATTGGTGCCTCCGCCTACACGGCTGGCCTATTATGCCGCCGCTGTTGGGCGTCTACGACTTCACCGCCGGCTTGCCTCCGTCGCCGCCGAGTGGTGCCTCCGCCTACACGGCTGACCTATTATGCCGCCATTAGTGGGCATCTTCGCTTTCACCGTCGACCGCCTTCGTCGCCGCCGACTGGTGTCTTCATTGTTATTGATGGACGACTTTGTTCCCACATTGGCCACTTCCGCTATCACCAAGGGGAATATTACAAAGCTAAGTCATCATTTATTTTATTCTTTATATG